CCCACCCCTTTATAAATTATCTAAATTGTGTCGATGTGGGTCATAAAACATCTACAATATTTTTATAGAAATGTCATATCTTTTCATGTCACCTGCTGAACGATAGGCATGCTGTTCCCAAAGACCTGACTCTCTAACTGCGTCGCTCTCAGCTTTTGCTTCTGGCGGGTCCCCCGACCAGCTGTGAAAGAACAAAGATACAAACATGACGCGAATAGTACAGGGGGAAGGGGGGGGATAAGTCACAATACAGAATATCTGCGTCTATTTTGTTAAAAATATCGGGGTACAAAGCAAGAGGAAGACCAAGAAAGACCTGGATCCAGGGTGTGAAGGATACCATAAGAACATGCAATATCCCATCCAGCCAGGCCATCAAACTTGCTGGAGACAGAAAGCTCTTTCTCCCCTCGACGCCCTAGAGGTACAAGAGGACGGATAAAGTAAAGTAAGTAAAGTCTATTTTGTTCTGTTGTTTAGTTTGTTCCATTTTGTCGATCAATACCAGATTTGTCAAAAACAGTTGAAGTCACTTGACGTCGGCATGTTTGAAACTGTTTCACATTGAAAGAACGACGATAGTCTATATGAACTCGTAAAAAAAGACAGTAGTCGTCGATGTTTTTTCATGGATCTCAGGCCATTTTATCGCTGAGGTCTTTATGCACATGGGAAAACAACAGCACAACGATTTTAAAAAAGGGTGATCTGAATTTGAATTTTTTTTTTTTTAATTTTTGTAAAGAGAAGCACATCAACCTAAAAAAATAACCTAAAAAACTTAGTGGTTGGAAAAAGTAAAACAGACGCACAGAAAGAAAAAAAAGAGGAAAAGAAAAGAGAAAGGGCGTACCAGTGGCGCACTCGAACCGCCCGCACACGGCAGTGACTCAGTCACAGAGCACTGTCGAGTCTACTGCACAAACCAAGTAGAAAATGAGATAGCAGTACTGTGCAAGCAGTTGCGGAAGCCTACATATTATTATATACTCAGCATTACTGAGGCCAGCAGAGACTTCGACATGTTACCCTTTTCCTACTTTCTAATCTCTAAAGCTAATTCCCCAAATCTGCCACATTATAACGTAGTCTCGAGAAGCAAACACGTTTTGCTTATACATGTATTTTCTTTTCTCTCGTTCTTTTTTCTGTTCTTTTTTCCTCGTCTTTTTTCTGTACTGAGTCTTATTATTTTGTAAGAATGCCTTATCTGATAACACAATGCACGACATCATGGCATCGTGTCCTACCTTCGTCTTTCGGCAGCCTGAAGTCCATGTCTACTTCGTACCTTTCCCTGTAGACAAACAGAAAAAAAATGTGGCAAAAGGAGCCCTGTTGCTTAGTGAAGACTAAAGGAAGGGGAAGGACAATCGAACAATTTTCCATTTTCGCCTTAATTAACTGTCTTGATCATTGTTTTATATTTCGATGACACAGATCATGCTCTCTGACCTATTTACTGTTCGCTATGAGCAGGTTTTCAGGCCTTCTCTTGTCACAAAAAATAACTAGACTATCCGTGGCTGCCTTTGACAGGGACCGCTATGACTGGGTCAAAAATACATGTACATGTTTAGCAGAACGAGATTGTATCACGCAACAGCGGCGATTAGTACATTATGACCACTGTGGAAGGAGAAGTGACCGTGAAGGACGTTTCTTAAGCCCATGTTAAACGTCAACTGTTGAGCAAGGACAGGTGGGTTAAGGTGTGTGTGATCGATATCTTGGGGAGGGGGTCAGTTTTATTTTTATTTTTTTTAACAAACAAACAAATAAAAAAAACTAGTTCTTCGGGGGAGTTTTCAATGTTATAGCTATTCAATATTTTTATCCACCGTATGTCTGCCCAAGGACATATAAATTAAACACAGATAGACAAACAGACAGACAGACAGACAGACAGACAGACAGGAAGACAAACAGACAGAAACAAACAAACAAACAAACAGACAGACAGAAAGACAGAAAACAAAGAAATAGAAAGAGAGAGTGAGAGAAAGAGAGAGAGAGAGAGAGAGAGAGAGAGAGAGAGAGAGAGAGAGAGAGAGAGAGAGAGACCTAGCCTACCTGTAAGAACGAATCTGTTCCTCCACCCTGTTCCTCTGTCGCTCCGCCTCCTCCAGCATGTGTTCTTGGTACCTCCTCCTCTCCTCCCAGCTCTCTTTCTTCTTTCTCTCTATCAGCTCCTCCCTCGTCTCCCTCGCCTTGTCCACCAGCAGGAGCTGAGTAAAACAAAACATAAGAGTAAAGTATAGCGTCTCCACTCCCACTTGGAATTGATTATTTGTTGGTTGTTTGGTTGGTTGGTTGGTTGGTTGGTTGGTTGGATGGTTGGTGGTTGGTTGGTTGTTTCTTTGTCGGTTGGTTGGTTGGTTGGTTGGTTGGATGGTTGGATGGTTGGATGGTTGGATGGTTGGATGGTTGGTGGTTGGTTGGTTGGTTGGTTGGTTGGTTGGTTGGTTGGTTGGTTGGTTGGTTGGTTGGTTGGTTGGTTGGGTGGGTGGTTGGGTGCTTGGTTGGTTGGTTGGGTGCTTGGTTGGTTGGTTGGGTGCTTGGTTGGTTGGATGTTCAAATAAAGAGAAGAAGATCCGATACGATAACTCTCATTCTTCTTCTCTTCTAGCCCGTGGTTGGGGCAACCGTGGGGGCACCACTGCATCTGAAAACCAGCTCCTTGTCCACTGCTTTCCTCAGATTGTCACCCATTGTCTTTCCTGTCAACTCTGCCATGTTGTCCTCCCATCTCCTTCTCAGCCTTCCTCTCTTTCTCTTTCCTAGCACAGTAGGATTGTTTTGGCAAGTCCTGTGGATTTTGTGACATACCCAAACCATTTTAATTTTCGTCTCTTCACTGTGGTCAGTAGATCTTCATGCTGTCCTACTGGATACAAAAAAAGGACGCTGATAGGCGTGGACAGCATAGGGGAAAGAAAAGAAGTAGAACCTTCCAATGGAACCTTCCAACCACTCGCTGTATATCGTGTGCAACCCCCAAGGATCACCGTTTGGACCACAGTGGGGTTGCAGGCAGCTATGTCGTACAGGAACAGAAAAAGAGTTAGGGTGTTGGGTTTTGGTTGTTGTTGTTGTTGTTGTTGTGTGTGTGTGTGTGGTAGCCTATCCGTTCGAAATGTTCGGAGCCCCGAAGAGTGTGCTCTTCGCCAGGGCCACCGCCTCCCTTGGGTAGCGGATGAGGCAGTCCAACCTCCCTGAATCCTCCCCGAAGAGATGCCACCGCCGGGCCTCCGTGGCGGGGCATCTCTGCAGCCAGTGCTCCAAATCTTGGGGCTCCTCGCTGCACAATGGACATATTGGGTCCGATGTTTTGTCTATTCTATTTTTGTAGACCCGAAGCCCAGAGAAATGACCGGTCCTGATTTTTGCCAGTAATGACTGGTCACTGCGGGACATAATAAGAGCCTCTCGTTTTAAGGAAAATGCCCTGTATACTTCCTTCGTCCGCGTGTGGCATATAGGGGGGTCTTTTGTAATTAGTTTTATCTGGGCGCACGCACTGTCATAAGTAATTTGGCGGCCTGGACCCGGCAGCGATGTTGCCAGTTTGGCATTACTGTCAGCGAGATCGTTGCCGAGGATATCGCGGTGACCAGGGATCCACTGAATCGTGGGTTGAGGTATTGCATTATCTATGCGCAGTCGCAATTGGTCGAAGGATGGTGATGTTCCCACTAGTGCCATGCATAGTGATTGACTGTCGGGGAAGATAGCGACCGAGTTGGATGCATCGCACTCTTTGTCAATCCAGTCAATGGCCATTTCCAAGGCTCTCCTTTCTTCCTCGAAAGAGCACGTAAATATGGCGCCTTTCTCCCTCAATGTCTCGACAACGGTAGGGTTGGACGGGTTCCCCGTTGTGATGACGACTCCAGCGCCGCCGTCCGTTGTTCCTGCCCTAGCCGAGCCGTCAGTGTAGATATCGTACTGTGCGCCAAGCTCTCGTGCTCGACGAACAGCAGCGCTTTGAATCTTCCCACTGGAGTCACTCCTTCCGCTTATGCCGTACAGGTGGGGAAAAGTGATGTCGGGGTTGATTCCACGTTCCCAGGGCCTGGTTTCGAAGTAAGTGATGGGCCTCCTCTCGCAGTCGAACAGATGTGGGCTCTTTTTGCTGACGTCTTCGGCCCTTTTTCGGAAATCCCTGTTGTTGTTGTTGTTGTTGTTGATGATGATGTTGTTGTTGTTGTTTTGTTGTTGTTGCTGTTGGGGTTGTTGTTGTTTTTTGTTTTTTGTTGTTGTTGTTGTTGTTTTGTTGTTGTTGTTGTTTTGGGGTTGTTGTTGTTTTTTGTTTTTTGTTGTTGTTGTTGTTGTTTTGTTGTTGTTATTGTTTTTGGGGGGTTATACTTTACTTGTAGCGACAAAACAAAACAATGTGACAGGTTAATCGTGTGGATATTTGTTTGACATGCATTTGTCTACTCGTTTATTTAAGGAATCCAGCACCCCCTACGTTGCCTCAGTTGGCATCTAGCTGAGCTGTGGTGCGGTTGATCATGTTTCAAATCAACAAGAGAATGTTTATTTAGTATTTGTAGATGTTTTACGGCACTCACAACTGCATAAGGTCATATGAGCGCCAGAAGATTAGAGGCGTTACAAGAGAGTAACAAATATAAGAAAGAAGAAGGGGAGATAAGAACGATAGATGTTTGATAGTAATGATTGGCAAGAAGAAGCAAACCACACCAGAGCACCCGCCAACCACCCACAGAATGTTTATGGACTTGGATAGCACGGGGAGTGTTTAGGACTCTCCACAAACTTATGGCTGTGCCTTATAAGAGACAGGCATGCATTACATTCAGAAGTCCCACCCCATAGATCCCCTAATAAAAAGTAAAGCTGTTCCCGCATCCGATCCGGACATTGGGGATTGCCTTGTTAATGAGACAACTTCCTGAGCCTTCGGCATATTGTAGTAGGGTGGCCAGTTCCTATCCACGCCGCTTTTACTTCCCCAACTCGAAGTCAGGTACCCATTACTACAGGGTGAACCGGGGGGGGGAAGGGAGGGCGAAAAAAATACATGTCCGAACCGAGGCTCAAACCCGGACTTTCCGTTTCGGAGACGAGCGCATATTATAATACTTCCCTAAATTGTCTAAACTGTGCCAAAGTGGAGTGTAAAACATCAAAATTATTCATGTCATTACAATTCACCTTTTTCAGTGCCTCGGACTCGAACTTCCTCTCAGCGCTCTGTGACCGGCGGCGAGCCATCTCCTCCCTGAGCCTCAGCTCCTGCTGCCTCTCCTCCCACCTGATCTTCCTCTCCTGCGCCTTCTCCTCTCTCCTCCTCAGATCCATCGCCTCCCTCTCCTCACGCCTCTCTGCCTCAGCAGCCTGCTTCTCCTCTAGTCTTATTTGTTTGAGTAAAGAAAAGCACATCAACACAACAACGTCCATTTAGCATGTTTACGGTATATGAAGTTTGTTTAAGTGAAGAGAAGCACTTCGACACAACAAAGGTCATTTAGCATGTTTACGGTATATGAAGTTTGTTTAAGTGAAGAGAAGCACTTTGACACAACAACGTCCATTTAGCATGTTTACGGTATATGAAGTTTGTTTAAGTGAAGAGACGCACATCGACACAACAAAGGTAGTTTAGTTTGTTTAAGGAAAGAAAAGCACACCGGTTCAACAACGTCCGTTTATTTCGTTTATGTGAAGTTTGTTTAATAAAGAGAAGTGCTCCGACATAACAATGGTCATTTGGTTTATTTGTTTCAGTTAACAAGTTTGCTCGGCACCACAAAGGTCGTTTAGTTTGTTTGAGTGAAGAAAAGCACATCGACATAAAAATCTAGTTTGTTTGAGGGGCATATCAACATGGCTATGGTCTTTAGTTTGAGTAAAAACATACGCATCGACATAAATTTCTAGTTTGTTTCAGTAAAGAGAAGCACATCGACACAATAACGTTTATTTAGTTTGTTTGTAAATGTGAAGTCTGTTGAAGGGCAGAAGAGAAGGGCTTTGACATAACAATGGTCATTCAGTGTAGTTTGTTTCAAGAGAAGTGTTCTCTCTCTCTCTCTCTCTCTCTCTCTCTCTCTCTCTCTCTCTCTCTCTCTCTCTCTCTCTCTCTCTCTCTCACACACACACACACACACACACACACACACACACACACACACACACACACACACACACACACACACACACACACACACACACACACTCACCTCCTCCGCCTCTCCTGCGCCTCCTGTCTAGCCCTGTGCTGTGCACGGATCACTTTATACTTGACTGACACACCCAGCTCTCCGGCTCGGTTCTTGGTCTCCGTCAGTTTGAGCTGTCGACGCTCCTGGTGAGAGGAAGGGGGGGGAGGGAGTCATTGGGTGGATTTTGGTTGTGGTGGTGGTGGTGGTGGTGGTGGTGGTGGTGGTGGTGGTGGTGGTGGTGGTAGTTATGGTGATGGTGATGGTAGTGGCGGTGGTGTTGGTGGCTGTTGTCGTTCTTGGTGTGGTTTTTGTTAGTTGCTGCTGTTGTTGTTGTTGTGGTTGTTGTTGTTGTTGCTGTTGCTGTTGTTGTTGTTGTGTGTGTGGTAGCCTATCCGTTCGAAATGTTTGGAGCCCCGAAGAACGCGCTCTTTGCCAGAGCCACCGCCTCTCTTGGGTAGCGGGTGAGGCAGTCCAACCTCCCTGAATCCTCCCCAAAGAGATGCCACTGCCAGACCTCCGTGGCGGAGCATCTATCTCTGTAGCCATTGCTCCAGATCTTGGGGCTCCTCGCTGCACAATGGACAGATTGGGTCCGATGTTTTGTTTATTCAAATTTTGTAGGCCCGCAGCCCATAGAAGTGACTGGTCCTGATTTTTGCCAGCAGTCGGACTTAATTTGAGTCTCTCGTTTTAAAGAAATTGCCCTGTATATTTCCTTCGTCCGCGTGTGGGATATCGGGGGGTCTTTTGTGACGAGTTTTATCTGGACGCACGCACTTTCATAATTGTGATGTGAGGATAACTGCAATCTAATCCTAGATTCACTCGTTAGTCTATTTACGTTGGTTTCAATACTCACTGTTTCGAGCGGGGAACGATGAGTGTGGGTCGTACAGGTCCGGAGCTCCACCCACTGTGTTGACCCACCAGTAGCGTCGATCCCTGCTCAAACTAGGTTTAGTCGTGGCTTGGAAGGCCAGTTTAATCTTCGCCGTCTGTTTATATACCCCCGTGCTCCCTTATTCTCCTACACTCACTAGGCTACACTGAGTTTGTTTACTTTTTTCACGTGATTCTGGCTTGTCTGGTAATCACAGCGAATTATAAACCACAATAATATTATGTAATTTGGCGGCCTGGACCCGACAGCGCTGTTGTCAGTTTGGCATCACTGTCAGCGAGATGGCTTCCATTCCGAGTCAGATGTTACGAGCTTGAAGAATGTAGTCTCACTGTTCAAGCCGTTCAGCGTGAGTTTCCATCGCCTGCTCCAGTCAGCAACGGTGTCCACCGCTCTTTGTGCCAGACTTTCGGCGTGTCGTACCGTGCGTGATGAAGTGAGGATAGAGACGTTGTCAGCATGGGGTGAAATTGTGAGATCTTCCGGAAGTAGTTTCGCTAGTTCGTCGAGAAAAAAAAAGAGTAAGAGAATGGATGTCAGGACGGAACCCTGTGGGAGGCTGTGGTTCATTTTCCTGTTCTTACTCAGTATTCCGTTGAATCGGACTCTGACTTGACGATTTTGAAGGAAGTCATTCCACCATAAAACGTATTTATTTGGGACACCTCTGTCTAGGAGGGTGTGGAGTAGGTGTTCTCACCAGACCTTGCCGTATGCCTTTGAAAAATAGAGGAGAACGAGTACCGATTTCTCCTTCTTTTGGAAGCCGTCGGAAATCTTCAGCGTAATTCTCAGAATGTGGTCTTCCACACATCCCCCCTTCCTGAAACCAGCCTGCAGTTCGGAGAACCAGCCGTTCCACGCGGCCATGTCGTACAGTCGTTCAGATACGGTACCATTCTCTCCATAACTTTGATGACACACAGGATGTGAGGCTTATCGGTCTAAATGACGTTAGTTCTGATGCTGGTTTGGCGGTCTTGAGGAGGGGGACAATGATGGCGTCTTTCCAGACTTGAGGGACATCTGCTGAGCGAAATGACATGTTGAAGACGGAGAGCAGTTTCTCAAGCGCTGTGGGACCCAGGTTTTTGAGGAAGGATGGAGGGATGTTGTCTGGTCCTGGTGATCCGCGGGACTTCATCTTTGCAATGGCATTTCTCAGTTCCCCCGATAGTGAAATCGGGCTCGTCTGCCCTTGGGTTGTTCCGTAAGTATTTCAGTCGCTGTTTGAGTTACCGGTTTTCGGCACATGTTAAGACTGCAGACATTCGCGTAGTGGTCTGCAAATATGTCCGCCTTATGCTTGCTTGATGTCACCAGTGTGGTGAAGCGCTGTCTCTCTGGGGGCGGGGTCGGCTTGGGTTTGGCGTCCTTTTGTTAGACCTGTTTTTCTCTGAGATATTTTAAATTCTAGCCTATTTTTCTTTTTCCTCCTGTTTTTGGTCTTTTAGTTTTTGGGATCCTATTTAAATTGTTTTCTCTTAGTCTCCTCATAACATTCGGAGGTGTGGAGACATGGCCGAAATGACAACAGAGTGTCTGGGGAGCATGTTGTTTTATTTTCCTCTTCAGTTCCAGTGAATAGGTCTACACTGTCTGTGTCAAAAACCACAGGCTGGGTGACCATTTGGGGAAAGTGTTCACTTGTCAAAACAATATTTTAGTGAACAGAGACCTGGACCAAAACTGATTTCTAAAAAACACACGAAGACTAGTCTTGATAACATCAGTCCACCGACACAGAAAAACTGAAATAACTCTTGTAATTTTCACAACTTCAAGGAGAAATTTATATCACATTAATCACCAAATCTTAACGCGCATGATGGTATAACTTTTTTAAATATCCAGAAATTAAAACAGTCAGGAACACCACAAATTAAGAGGAGCGCAGAAGGCTGCCTGTTGGTGCGATCATCACTCACTCCACTCTCGTCGTCGTCGTCTTTGTTGTTGTTGTTGTTGTTGTTGTTGTTGTTGTTGTTGTTGTTGTTGTTGTTGTTGTTGTTGTTGCTGTTATTGTTATTGCTGTTGTTGCTGATGATGGTTATTGCTGTTGTTGATAATGAAGTTGTTGTTATTGATGTGGGGTTTTTGTTGGGGTTTTTTTTTTGTTGCTGGTTGCTGCTACTTTTGGTACTTTTGGTATTTTTGCTATTTTTGGTGTTGTTGTTACTGATGTGGTTGTTGTTGGTTGGTGATGGTGATGGTGCTGGTGGTGGTGGTGCTGCTGATGGTGATGTTGGTGTTATTTCTGTTGCAGTTGCTGTTGAATTTCGTTGCTACTTTTATTGGAAGAGATATTGATGGTGGTTGTGTATGATGTTGACGATAAAGAGCAGGAGAACTTTGCTATTGCTGCATTGTTGTTGTATTCGTTATTGTTATTGTTGTTATTGATGATGGTGTTGTTGGCAACAGCAATGTTGTTCTGGCAGCTGTTGTTGTTGTTTTTGTCAATGGGTGGTTAGCGGATGCTCAGGTATGAGTATGATTTGCTTCGTCTTTTTTATCCAACGCCTTTCCTCGTTATCTCTCCTTCTTTTTTTTTCCCATATATTATTATCTAGTAACGTCTCTCTTCGGCACTTGTATGACTAATGTGTGTTGCAAGTACCGTCCGTAAAACTTACTTAAATCTTAAAAGTTGTAACTTTATTCGTCCTTTTAGTTTTAGTTTTAGTTGAGGTTTTACGGCGCTCGCAACTGCATAAGGTCGTATGACTATGAGCGCCAGAAGATTAGAGGTGTTACAAGAGAGTAACAAACATAAACAAGAAGAAGGGGAGATAAGGACGATAGATGTTTGATAGGAAAGAAGATGCAAAACACATCAGAGCACCCGCCAACCACCCACATTCGTCCTTTTTGGGGGGATACAATTTTAATGTCTTTCAATGGCAACTTACTAACCGTCCAGCGTCCTAGAGGAACAAAGAAAACCGAGAAAACCTGGACGACATACTGTGGCTCTGTCAGCATTATTGTCGTTTCCATGGCGACCGACCAGCGCTTGATGTCGCAGAAAGTTCCGGTAGTTGTTGAAGTCCCGCACGGAACAAGGGACATAACCCTGCTCGGTGACCAGCTTCTGAGACATGATCTGCGGAGATATCGTGCCTTTGTCATCATTCTGCTCGATAGTTTATTACATAGATCGTTTTTGTTTTACTTTAGGCGCTTTTGCGTCCTCATCGACACAATTTAGATCATTTAGGAGGCGGGCTTCCGACCCCTTACCAGTCAGAGACATCCCGGGTTGAGAGGGATGTTCAGCGTCCCAGCAGAAATTTTTTAGTTTTAGTAAAGAGTTTTACGGCACTTGCAACACAATAAGGTCATATAAGTGCCGAAGATTAGAGGTGTTACAAGAGAGTAACAACAAACGTAAAAAAGAAGGAGGAGAGATAAGGACGACAGCTGTTTAGAGGAAAGATGGAGCAAACCACACCAGAGCACCCCCCAACCACCCACCCAGCAGAAATGCCGAGAAACTCGATAAGAATATTATTCTCACTCGGGAATCGAGTTCTGGTCCCTAACCGCTTTACCACAGCATAGTTTTATGTCTTTGCAAATAGAAGGCAAACGACAAAAGGCACGCCAACATTAACTTACTAATAGACTTTGAATAGATGGGTGACGGGGAAAGATCAGGATGATATAGATTTTCTGAGAGCATCCAAGCAGAGAAATGAGTGATGAGCCATGATTGCCATAGTCTGTGCACTAGAAAGAATAAGAGGGTGTTTTTACTTTTTTTTTCTTCGCAGCCCACGTTGCCTGCATCATCATCATCATCATCATCATCATCATCATCATCATCATCATCATCATCAAGTGACCCTGGATCTATGCGTACATAGTTCCCATTGGAAAATCCAAATTTACTCTTACCAAAAACAACCACCAGTTTCCTTGTACAAACTACAACAAGCACACGTAATGATATGATAAGGGGATCTGTTTCCGGCGTTTGTGAAGTAGCTGTTGTTAGGGTTTTCGTCACCATACACAGGAGACACGAATGTAACCCTATCCGTACGCCCTGGGGTCATTTTGTACCCCCGGGGTTGTATTCTTCCCATTTTAGAATGCTTCTACTTTAAGTACGAAGATCTCTTTCAGTATTTCTCAAAAAATCATGTTGACAGACTGCTATGCAAAGCGTACGGATCGGATTAACGAGTAAGTGATAGCTCTGGGAAACCAAAATGAAAAGGATTGCTCTAGCACAGAGTTCCTCAGGTCGTATGAATACGATAGTAAAACACGACGTACGGATCGGGTTAGTCTTCGTATAAGGCGACCGAAAGGAATCATCTGCTACAAACCTTCCCAATGCTCGGGACACTTCGAAGGAAATAATTATTGGCCCAACCCTAAGCAGAGAGATCCAAAACTCTATGGTGGCCTGGAGGACCTGCGGCGAACAGCAGCCTTCGCCCAAGAGGCTGGGACGCCCATTGAGAGATGGACGAGAAGATTCCTGAGTAGGGATTTTTTTTACCATCGAGTATCCCCGTCTTCCTGTTGGGATACTGTATCCCTCTTTGCCCAAGTTGGAGCTGACAGTAGACAGGCCGGGTCGCGGCAGTTTGCATCCTAAACTGCAATCTAACGTGTGCCAATGGAGGCTTTAAAGGATTTAAAACCGAGCGTTTACAACCACCATAAGATCTATGACTTGTTCACTTTCGTCTGACCGCAGTACAGTAAAGACATTCTAGCTCATTGAGGAACTATTAACCTATGCCCACGAAACTTTGCATGGCACTTCTGCAGGCCAGCCACCAAACAAAAATATTTTTTCAAAAAATCTTGACCCAGCAAAAAAAATGTTTTTCTCCTTGGGCCCAATATAAAAAAAACTGCTCGTTGGCTGCACACAAAGGATCACTAAAAATAAATGATGTAACGCGCAGACAGAGTGGAGCCACCTTCCCGCGCCTTTTTCCCGTCTGGCCCCAATTTGGGGAGCGGCAGGTTTGATTTACAGGAAAAACGTTGCGAGCGACAGAGCCACCAACTTCTCACCTCCCCTTTTTGAGGCGAGTCCCCTCCAAGGCCCAAAAAAGTTTGGTGACTGAAGTTTAACGCAGCACTAAAATGACTCGCACCTTCAGTCACCAAAAACCCCCACTCGGTGTGTGTGCTCACTCGCACACGCTACTAAAGGAGAAGTTGAAACGTAGAAGGTGATATCCTTACATGACAGACATTTTCCTCATCTGAAAGGACTTGCTCCATTAAATGATCATATTTACCATACTTACTACGACGTTGGTATATTTTGTGAAGCCAGTAACGGCGTCTGTTGAGCCTTCGTTTTCTCAACCAATATAAAAACATCCATTGAAATATTTCTTCGTCCATCTTGTACAGACAGGGCTAGGCCAACCTCAAAAATATTTCACATGGAGAAAATATAATAACAATCACGAACACTGATTCAAAAGAGTGAAGATGTCACCCCTTCCCTGGGGATGTCGGGGGAGGGGAGAGGCCTTCACTCTGTCGCCGACTTACCTCTCCCCTTGCTCTCCACAAAAGGGGAGTGGAGAGGCTTGGAGCTTGCTCCAGAAAGGTGACTCTACTCTGTCAACACCTTTACAGTAGTCTTGCCTACAAATTGCTCATTTTGAGACAGCGACAACATCCTGCCTCCACATTTCAATGTAAGCTTGTTGATTTCATCCCCCGGTTGTCTTGACGTCTCCGCGTGCTCCACGCGAGTCTCGAAAATTACTCACCCCGTCTCTTGAATTGTGTTTCTTTGGCGAACGTTAAAGAGTGGTGTTTAGGGAAATGTGTCAACTTTTCAATATTCTAGGTGTACGTTGTAAATCCCCTATTGTTTTTTTATCCGCTTTAGGCTTATATCAAAGTAAACGTGTCGGAACCTTAGTTTTGCTGGGATTTTTATTAATGGGCGTTTAGATTCTGTAGGTCGCTTCACTTTTAGACCCGCATGCAAAGACCGAGAAAGATTAAACATAGCGAATTGCTTTTATCCATTTAAACTACGGTCAGACGAAAGTGAACGAGCTACAAAAACGTTATCTTCACCTGTTTCCGGGTTGCCCGGCGGGCGAACCAGGTCCTGAGATGTGGGTCAGACAGAGCCTGGTACTCACTGCTCCTGGTCCGGTTGTAGGGGTCGGACAGGTCGAAGGTCACTCGCTGACGCGATTTGTAGGCCTCAGAGGGGAATGAGAAAATGGAAACTGTTTAGGAGCACAGTATGATCTATTCGGAGACGTCTCCGACGGAGATAGAGCAATCAAAATGCTTTGTGCCTCTGGACCAAGTAATAAAAATCTGGGGGTAAACAAGGGGGAATGCCCTCCACCCCCCACCCACCCCCTCCTATTTTAGCTCATAGTTTGATATTTTGCAGTTGGGTTTGAAATTTTCTTGCAAATAATTGATTCGCGACAGTTTTTGTGGCTATATTATGTGTGATTTGCAGCAAACAATACGCAGTTTGAGACCCCCCCCACCCCCTCAAAGTAGTGCATCTATGGGCGGGAGTACGTCTCTGAATAGTTCCTGTGTGCTCGCCGGAGACGTCTCCGATGTTTAGGAGAGGTGGGGTGAGTGGGGACGGGGTCAGTGCAATGGCCGTAGTTCGCTGTTTCGGGCCTAAAGATCAATGGACCACGTAAGTGCTACTGCAATCATGCATATCAGCAAAACTTCCGCCAACACAACAAGACTGGTGGTAAATTTCATAGAAAGCGACACATGTCTTTTTTTTCTCCTTCTCCTTTTCCTTCTCCTGCTCCTGCCCCTTCTCCTTCTCCTTCTCCTTCTTCTCCTTCTTCTCCTTCTTCTCCTTCTTCTTCTTCTTCTTCTTCTTCTTCTTCTTCTTCTTCTTCTTCTTCTTCTATCCCGTGGTAGGGGCAACCGTGGGGGCACCACTGCATCTGACAACCAGCTCTCGCCATTTCTCTCTGTCCTCTGCTTTCCTCAGATTGTCACCCATCGTCTTCCCTGTCCACTCTGTGATGTTGTCCTGCCATCTCCTTCTCTGCCTTCCTTTCTTTCTCTTTCCTTGTACTACGGTTCCTTGTAATATTCTTTTGGCAAGTCCTGTTGATGTTGTGACATACCCATACCATTTTAATTTTCGTCTCTTCACTGTGGTCAGCAGATCTTTATGCTGCCCCGCTGCGTTTGTGATTCTATTCGGTACCTCACCATTTGTAATGAGGTCTTTGTATGAGATGTCAAGGAGTACTGTACTGTACATGCACTGTACCTTTAGGGGGGGGGGTCCAAAGTTATGGATTTAAGTTTCTGATGATGAGTAAAGAGGAATACATACAAGTTCCATAGATTAGAAGACAGTTTGTCATGGGAAACAAGACAGAAGGGCAGACAGAAACAACAGAGAGAATGATAAGAGGTTATGAGATCTATCATCATCAGTGGCAAACTGGAGTCTGTGGCGTAACAGTTGGAGGTAGGCTTTTCACCCAAATGCGCATGTTCGATTCCTAAGTGCGGATGGTGTTGGTTTGGTTCGGGTTTTGGTTTTGGTTTCGTCTTTTTTTTTTATCGAGTATCTCCATTGATCTGTTGGAATATTGCATCCATCTCAATTTGGGTTGGTACTGTAGACAGGCGAAGTCGAGGCAGTGTGGCTCTAAATGTATATATATATATATATATATATATATATATATATATATATATATATATATATATCGATATATATATATATATATATATATATATATATATATATATATATATATATATAAACTGTCGTGTGGAGGCATAAAACGCTTACAATAAAGAAATAACTAAGCAATATATGTGACACCTGCCGGCTATCCTCTCCACAGTTATGAAAAATAATCTAAAATGTTCCCACTTTCGTTTGTTTGTTTGTTTGAGCAACAAGAAGCACTTCAACTTCAACAACAAAAATAGTCACTAATTAATTAGTTAATGGAACAGCAAGACAAACGGACTGAACTAACAGACGGAAAGAAAAAAAGAAACTCACTGGCTCGCCCATTTTGGTAGTGACGAAGGTGAGTTCCCCTCTAGGGGCGGGCGTAACGGGGAACTTGGCGTCCATTGGCAGAGTCTGCCACCGGGGGAGGGGCGAGAGCGCCTCGGGGACAGGAGGCTCCGCCCCCTGCGGTTCATGCAGTGGTCGTGGGAGGAGCAATCTGTCCATGGCTTGTTTACAGCTCATTGTGCTACTGTTCATTGACAGAGGGGGTGGGAATGGGGGTGGGGGGTCACTCGGGCACTTAGAAGTGGTCAAGGGTCACTCAGACACTTAGAAGGGGTCAAAGGTCATTCAGACACTCAGAGTTAGAAGTAGTCAAAGGTCATTCAGACACTCAGAGTTAGAAGTAGTCAAAGGTCATTCAGACACTCAGAGTTAGAAGTGGTCAAAGGTCATTCAGACACTCAGAGTTAGAAGTGGTCAAAGGTCATTCAGACACTCAGACTCAGAGTTAGAAGTAGTCAAAGGTCATTCAGACACTCAGACTCAGAGTTAGAAGTAGTCAAAGGTCATTCAAACACTCAGAGTTAGAAGTAGTCAAAGGTCATTCAGACACTCAGAGTAAGATGAGGTCAAAGGTCACTCAGACACTCAGAGTTAGAGATGTTAAAAGGGATCAAAGGTCACTCAGACACTCAGAGATAGAGACGGCAGAAGGGTTCAAAGGTGACTCAGACACTCAGAATTAGATTTAGGAGTGGTCAAAGGTCACTTAGACTTAGACACTCCGAGTTAGATGCTAGAAGTGGTCAAATGACACTCAGACATTCAGAATTAAAAGTAGTTACAGTGGATCGGTCAGCGTGTTGTTGCTGTTGTTGTTTTTTCTACAAGGAGAGAAACAGTTAGCACTCAGTAGCTATGGTCAACAAGGAATTATCCTCCTTTTTGGTTTTTTAAAATTTTCTATTGCTTTGTTTGGGCGGGGGGTGAAAAGGGGTGGGTGGAGGTAACCAACGCAACATTGTCCTCGGCATAATGAAGAAGCAGGTGCGCTCTTTTTAAAGTGAATTTAAAAGTTATTTCTCTGGATTCAGTGGGTATATTATAGTATATATGCTTGTCTTGTTGTAATTAGTGAACTAACAACGTTACAACTCAAAATCATGTCAGCAGAAAAATGAGAAGCCTGTTTCTTCAGAGATGATCAGCTTCACTTTTTGGAAAAAATCACATAGTAATGGATAGAGTATACATAGACGTTTGTTCTCCCAAGGGAAACAACAGCTCCTACATAAAAGCAAGCTTTTTGGTATGTCACTGATTACTTCCCTTTACACCAGGACTGACTTGGGTTTTTTGGGGGTCTCTTACTCTTATTAAATACATGTGTACTAATTCATATGTATCAATCTTTATCAAATAATTATGTTGATGTTATACACATCCTGATTTTCCTAAATTCTCAGATTCAAATAAATTGAAGGTCAGACCCGACAACTTCGTTGTCAGCAGTGAGATTTCATGATACAGCAAAGAATTTTCCTACGACCCTGGAAAGCAATTTCTTTTTTTTTTTTTTTTTTTTTTTTTTTTAGTAAGTGCTTTTCGGCGCTCGCAACCGCATGAGTTCATAATATATCTAATATGGAGCGTGCGGGACACATTATACATTTTCAGTTGGTAGGAAATTTTCAATTTTCTCGGGTGGCGGCGAAGCCTACTCTTATCGATTTTGGAGCACCCAAAAAAATTTTTTTAAAGAAGGGGGAGAGATAAAGACGATATAAGTAGTTGTTTGATATAAGAAAGAAGGAGCAAACCACACCAGAGCACCCACCAACCACCCACTGGGAGTCTGGAATTTCCAAGATCACTGTATTATGCTTGAAACAATAAGTCCTGCCTTTGGTCTTCCCAAAATGTAGAGCATTGTTTCTCACTATTACCACTACCACTATTAAAAGAAAAAGAAAAAAAAACACAAACGGACATGCATAAAATCATAAATTATATCCAGTTTCACTTTTTTTTTCATTTCATTTCCCATGTAGCCACTTTTAAATTCCTGAAGTTGCATCGTTTGTGTATTCTTGACCTGTCTTCATATTTTGAGTTGAATCCCCTTCCGTTCTTTCAGACTTTTGGCTGTGGTTGTTTTTGATCTCACGAACTTCCTTGCCGCTTCAAACAGCTAATCAGTCATCCTTCAGGAGGCATCATAAATTAAATAGGCCTACTTGTACCATGCAATAACAGGAATATGATAATCTCGTATTATACATTAAAACAGTTGTTGGGAAGTTTTAATTAACAACATGCGTGCGTCTTAAGTTAATGACCCCCTTGGCTATGTGTGGTCAGACCATTTCCATGCGTCGTCTCAACCTGTCCCTGTTGGTACATGGCGTGTTTTGTACAACGTAGTGGTGGACTCTAGTAGTGGTAGTGGTAGCCAGGCTATCAGTATCATGTGTATATATGCGTATGTTACACATAATATTATATCATGTCTCAGAATTGAGATTGTTGGGTAGGCTATGTCTTTACGCATCATGACATCAGTCCTTTTCTGCAGTTTGTGGGACTGAACAGGACAAAAGAAGGCAGCGCATCTTTTGTAAAGACATCAATAGTTTACTTCACAATTTAGATCTTGATCTAGTGTGCTCCAACACATTGATAAGTTAGTAAATACATGATAGATCTAGAATTAGATCTACGACTTACACTTACAAAAATTGTGCATATGTACTTCCTTCTTGTAACCAAACGTGTCCGTTCGACTAGCCAGCAGACCCTGCTTCGTCACCAATGGTGTGTTCCTCAGTGCCAGTCAGTGCGCACTTCTCTAGTCTATAGACGTGTGCGGTGTTGTTTTTTTGTTGGGGGTTTTCTTTTTTAGTAAGCGTTTTACGGCGCTTGCAACACAATAATAAGGTCATAATATTAATATACGTGCCGAAGACTAGGGGTGTTACAAGGGAGTAACAAACGCAAAAAAAGGAGAAGAAATAAGGACAACAGATTTTTTATATGAAATGAGCAACCACACGAGACTTTTGGCACTTTAGCTTCTGCTAATGTCGATGAGACGAATTTTGGCAAAAAGAAGTTTGCTACATTTCGAGCATTCATAAGTTCCACTTTCACTTGTGAATGTGCGCAGCTTACCAATTTTTCTCTTGGTTTCAGCATTTCAACATGTTAGGTAGGCTTACACTTTACAGTACTCAATTTTTACCTTAAAAAGGACGCTTGCCCAGCTATGCAAATTAGATCTCTTAGAGGACCAAATTAAAAGCAGTATGAGGGCCAATCAAATACGTACACCCAGTAGTTTGTACTTTTTAGGCCCTTTTCGAGCGGCTTGTAACAGTAGTTGCACCCCAAAAGTCAGGAGTGCAAGTGGCATACAGTAAGGCAAGGGTGTTCTTGAAAGTAGGTTCAGTCAAAGCTCTAGACATAGAATGGGCTTTACACGTTATAGACCAAACAGGCTAGAACTAAAACCAAAGGTGAATCAGATGACCCCTTCATGAGATAGCGGACATTTTTTAAAGAGTGAAGAGAAACACAACCCAATAAAGGTGATTTTGTGCTGGGAAAAAGCAAGACAATACATAGGGGGGGGGGGGAGAGAGAGAGAGAGAGAATATACACCAAATTGTATACACACAATAAAGGCTATTTATTTTAGTGCTGACAAAATGCAAGGCAGATAGACAAACCACAGGCTGAAAGTGAAAGTAAAGAAATATGCACTACCAGTAGCACCCTCCAACCACCCGCAGAGAGAGAGAGAGAGAGAGAGAGAGGGGGAGAGAGAGTAGTAGTAGTAGAGGTTTTACGTTGTTCACAACTGCATAAGGTCATATGAGCGCCAGAAGGTGTTACAAGAGAGTAACAAACATAAAAGAGAAGAAGGGGAGATAAGGACGATAGATGTTTGATAGGAAAGAAGGAGCAAACCACACCAGAGCACCCGCCAACCACCCACAGAGAGAGAGAGAGAGAGAGAGAGAGAGAGAGAGAGAGAGAGAGAGAGAGAGAGAGAGAGAGAGAGAGAGAGAGAGAGAGAGAGAGAGAGAGAGAGAGAGAGAGAGAGAGAGAGAGATCACAGCAAATGTTCTTTGTACTATTTACTACATGTACACAGTACACACAAAGCACAACATACAGAATAACGCAAAACCAGACAAAGTTTCAGTGGTGATGAATAAATTTTAATGCATTGCTGCTGGATAGATTTTGATAGCAGCTAACAACACAATGGGGAGACGGGGAGGGGGGGAAGGGAGGGGTGGGGGGGATACAAATGAGAGAAAGGAACACCAGAACAGCTTCTTCCAGAACTCCCCTTGAGCCACACACACACACGCACACACCAGAGGTGGCAGCGAGTGTACCGTGTACCGAGAGCTCCGCAAGAAACTGCTGACGCTGGGGCAGACACACACTGCCCTCTTCCTCCACCCCCTGCCTCCCAGGACCTCCTTCCTCCACAGAAGACCAAAGGATGAGAGAGTCTCAGCCATTCACACGCATTTTAATCTCCAGCTCACTTCCCACAGGAGCTCCCAGCAAAAACTGGCAGCAACATAAAATTTATCTGTACACTAACTGGAGACAGGGGCGCCGTGTGCCACACACATGCTGATTGTATAAATAAATAGCTCAACAAGTAAGACAGCTTGTATGGCTCACACTTCTTTCATCCAAAGCTCTTCCAAGTTTTTTTCCTTAATAAATGAGAAAAAAAATTTGTTACACTTTACTTACGAGCTTTCGGGCAGGTCATGCCCAAAAGGCCCGACTGGGTTCACTCTACACATGTAAATGAAAAAGCAAATCATGGTATAAATGGGGAAAAAAACAACAAAAAAACAATGACACACTAACACACACATACACGAGTACCAAAAATGCTATTACCAGAAGGTAAAAAAAAAAAAACCAAAAGAAAAAAAAAATGGCCATGGCAGGACAGATTGTTTCAGGCCACAAGGGGGGTTCTGACCTGTCACAAGTCATGAAAACGCCCCACCACAGCCACATAAGCACCAGCACCCAGTCTGAGCGGAACGAGTGCGGTGTGGAGCAAGCAGCAACTGCTAGCCCACGGGGGTGAGGGCAGGCAGGCAAGGCAAGGCTCACATGGGGGGGGATAGTTCACCTTGCCCTGAGTGCTAGCAAAGCTGAGCGGGTTCAGTCACCAAGTTCCCGCTTTGTTCCAAGAGGATTTTCCTAGACAGCCATGCATCAATAGATGAGGCCGTGTCATCATCTTTCACCGCCAGCGTCATGTGCCAAAAGCACCGACACTGGACCCTTCCTGTGCCACTAGAGAACCCAGGTGCCATGTCAGACAACTCTGTGAAGGACCGAGAGAGCCCAACAGGCTACCTGGTTCACATAATAGTTGGCAAAACATAAGTCAACAGTCACAATGACCACTCTCTCAGTGGCGCCTTAGTGTCTACAGACACACATGTTGGCAGCCACTTATTTGTTTACCCATCTGTTTTGAGGGTTGTCGGGGTTATCGGTCCAACATGAGAAAATATTCTCAAACGACCCCATATGGTGTCAAACTTTTGTCACGATCAATCTTCCGAGTTGAAATGTGTGCCATAAAAAAATATAAAGATACATAATGATTTGTCATTGAGTTATGTAGTAGGACCAATTACAAAAAAAGGTTAATGTATGTAAACTGAAGGTTACGGGAGTCAAGAGATTGTGTGTGTGTGTGTGCCCACAAAGTAGCAAGCTGACGGTTGTCCCACAAGGCAGGTAGCTGGTACACAACAGTCACTCAACAGTGCAACCCTACAACAAAGATTGAATGAATACAAAACATTTCTACCAAAATGTAAGAACATAGGCCTGCTTGAATCAACTAAAGAACAAGTATATACAATGTGCAATTCAACCCAAAGGCCAGTGACTGAATCTTACATCTCCCAATAATGAGACCACACTCAGAATTTCTTCTCTAACATGTTACTTAACCTATGCAATACAGTTCCAAAATATTTGGCAGGATGAATATCAAATCAACCAATCTCTGGGGCAAGCAACCAGTACCTCACATGTCCATAGAGTTGTCATTCAAGGCAGACAAATATAAAAATTAAAAATATAAGAAAAATGGACCCCGCAGGTCTTCCAGATAGCCCTGAGGAGGGGGGAGACAGGAAAAACGATATAATGAGAATGAGCACCAGAGCTAGTCTCTTTCTTACTGACGACCAAACAAATACAATAAAACTAACTCCACTTAGTATATGATAACATATCGCACGTTCTTGAGGCATCAGACCAGCAATTGTAAGTTGTAAACCTTGGACAGAAATCTCTCTCTGTGGGCTAACATGGATGGCGGATTGAAGGTACAGAGAAAATGACATGTGTCTACGGGCTGTGGACACCAACAAGGAAATCTTTTAACGAGTCACATCTTTGCGTTCCTAACAGTGATTCTGTTTTCCTCATACATTCTATCGGGCATTATAGTAGGCGCATATTGCACTTTCAAACACAAATTCACCCAAAGACACTTCAAGTCAGCAACTTCATAGGTGACAGCATTTGAAAATCGTTCACAGAATGATGCGTAAAAACAAAAGTGCGGGAGGGTTGGACAACGACAATACAATAAAATGAAAAAAGTTAAAAAGCATGTGTAATAATCAACACCAAACGTCCATTCGTTGAAGGTCTACACAGGCATGATATGCAGTTACACTTACGACAAACTAATCGTTATGACTAAAATAATGTACAATAGCACAATGGCCAGTCACCGAGAAAAAGAAAACCCCTTTCTGTCGTACAAATACACGCACAAAGATGAGAAACAAACACACCAGTACCACCTGTCTTGTGAGACAACTTTGAGAATATTTAGCATCACTTTCCCCAATATCTTTGTGAGCAGTGACATTACCAGAGAGAGAACATTTTCATGAGATGAACCTACAAAGGTGCGGCTGTGGGTGTAACGGCAAATTGAGTGTGTGCACTGCCAGTGTACCAGCCACGGGCACACACAAGAACTTGGCACAAATTCTTCCCTTCCCAGCATGACTGAAGGCAGAGCAGAATCCCACAGGGCTACGTGTCCTTTATGTTCACAAAGTAGGGCTGTGACTATTTCTCTTTTTGGTCACTCCTCTGGTGTAGAATAATGACTGTTTTAGTCTATCAGTTTCCATAGCTATATTCATATTGTCTCTACGCACACATCAGTTTCATGTCCCCAAATTCCACATGTATCCTAAGAATGGGTCATGGTTTTCACTTTTGGACGAGTTACCAGGCAGACGTACGCATAGCGATGCCCACTCTGGTCTTTTTGGGAGGAAAAATCTGGACAACACGGGTTGGTCTGAACCGTGTCAAAATCTGTTAGCAATAATTCTAGTCATCAGAAAGAATACAGTTGTGAGTCTTGGTAGAAACTTTTTGTGTCAACAGTCTGGTTATTGTAATGTCCGCGTTACTATTTCCAGAAATGGTATTCTGTGGATACAGATCCTTAGATATGATGGTCACGTCCTGTGTGAGCTTTCCTGCAATCATGATAGTGTTCTTCCATGGGGAGACTCAATGTGCCCTCTTGACCGACTGAGACATCAGACTATGACAAACACCCATCCCGTCTAGCCTATGAGAACCATTTCAAGGAAACCATCTCTCCATACATCTACTATCACTCATAACTTTTCTATGTCACAAAACCATTACCATATTTTTTATACACTTTTTCTTCTCCCATTTTCCTAACTGTCAGACTCACTATATAACTTGATTCAGAGTTTACAAATATTTCCAGGCTATATACTCAGTTGCAAGAGGCATATATCAAAATGTGAATCATCCCGTCCTTGTCAAAAATGTCACCAATTTGGATTAACCTTGTATGCACTGGACATTTGAATTGACACACACAGTTCTTGTGGACTTGCTCATTTCTTATCGGGACCGGGGCCAGCAGAGGCACTGGCCGAGACACTGGTGCTGGAGGTCGCAGCCGTGGAGACCACACTGACCTTGCTGGTGGCAGCCGCCGCCGCACTGCTGGAGGTGTTGGCGTTTGCCGACACGGTGGCAGCGCTGGTGCTGGTGATGGCTGGGGCTCTCGTGTTGTTGCTAGCGCTCAGGTTGATCTTGACACTGGTGCCCACCAGGCTGGGGTTCGATACCATAGCCAGGGCAGGCTTCTTCTCGTCCGGCTTGAGCCCACCACCACCTACAGCGGGGCTCGGAGAGCCACTAGCTCCATCCACTGGGCTGCTGCCGGAACTGCCCTTGGCACCGGTGCCACCGCTGTTCTTGTTGAGGAAACTCTTAGCGTGGTTCAGCAGGTCCCGACGCTGTTGGGCCTGTTGAGCTTTCACGCTGCCCGCTGGGCCAGGGTAGGACCCAGGCGGTGCTTTAGGGGGACCAGTATTGGGACCCATGGCCTTCGTTGGTCCGTTGGGACCAAGGGCTTTGGGGGGACCAGCATTTGGACCGAGGACCTTCATCGGTCCACCACTGGGGCCAGGAGCTTTGGGGGGACCGTTGGGGCCAGGACCGCCATGTTGTTGAGGTGGCCCCATGGGATAGGAAGCACCCCCTGGTCCCATGCCACCTTTGGGCATGGACGGCGGGTTCTGCCTGGAAGGAGGGGGACCGTCGCGACCACCCGGACCGCCCATAAATGAGCCCGGATTTGGCCCCGGCCCTTTCATTCCAAACGGGTTTGGATTTCCACCGTTGGGGCCACCCTGCATGCCCATGGACTGGTTGAGGACCGTCTTGGCAGCACTGAGAAGCATGTTGCTCAGCAAGGCATTCCCACCCATATTCATGGCACCCAAGTTAAGAGGGCCCGCGTTTGGATTCATGGAACCGCTGCTTGGATTCAGGGGTCCTCCTGGGCCATTCGAGTTGAGACCACTGGGGTTGGCATTGGCATTCTTCATCGCTGGGTTTCCACCAGCATTGCCAAAGTGCTGCATGTTGGGAGGTGGCTGTGCAGACACTGGTGGAACCCCTGGTCTCTGGATCGGGTTGGGAAACGGAGGCCGCTGGTTGGTGGGACCCTGAGAGGATCCTGGTCGTATGTTTCCCATCATTGGTGGACGCACCTGCTGGTTGTTGCCTGGAAAGTAACGATAGACTATTGAACAAACAGTAGCGTCTTGAGCCATCGAGAAGAACAGACAAAACCCCTCACAAACTGAGCTCTGATGAGAGAAGTCCCTCCATTTATCCATGATTACAAAGTTCACCAAGAATCTACCAAAACCAATTTCTTTACTAATGCTTTTTTTTTTTTATAATCATTTTTTATTTGCCCACTGAAAGGTGAACTTCAAACCCTCATGCTTTTGATCTTATTTTCTTCTAAACACAGAAACTTTCCTTTAGCCTCTTTAAAAAAACACAATCAATCTAAAGACTTCCACATCAGAGCTCAGAAAGAGGTTCGTGCATGTCTCAATAGTAGTGATAAGATAAACAAAAAAAGTCACAAGTTCACCATTGGCAAAGAGCCAATACAAGTGTTCAATCATCACTTCCAACAGCCTAACCACCAACATAAGAGTCAAAGGGATAACAAATGCTAAGTTGACATGGTGCAAATCCCACAACCTTCAGTGGTCATCAAATAGGGGCAAACAAAAGATTTCAAATATCCCCCCCCCACCACAACAACAAGCCCGCAGCTGCAATCCCAAAGACCGCTGCTATGACCCCAGATGATGTGCGCAAGTTGAATTTCACCAAAATAAGTCCCCTGTAAAATGTTTCTCAGAGAGAGGTGTCAAGCGGTGTAGTGTTGACCTACCTGAGGCTGTCACCTGGCTGGGCGGAGGTGGCTGGGCCGCAGCAAACGAGCTGCTGTTGCTGGAGCTGTGGTTGTTGTTGCTGCTGCCGCTGCTGCCCATACCACCACTACCATTGCCCCCTCCGCCGCTGCTGCCAAACTTTCCCGTGCCCCCGGGGAAGTTGGGGGCGTTGGGGTTGGGGAAGCGAGACTGCGACATGGGACGACCCGTCTGCTGAGGGTGGGGGTGGTGGTGGTGGTGGTGGTGCATGCTGCCGCTCACACCGTGGTGCTGGCTCTGGGTAGAGGAGGAGGGCTGCGGCACACTCGACTGAGGACCACCAGCTCCCCCTCCCCCACCGCCCACAGAGCCCGACATCCCCGCCATAGACCGGGAGCTCATCATGGACGGGTCCATGGGGCCCGTGGGACCACCTCCGACAGACGAGCTCCCACCACCACCACCACCTCCGCTGACACCAGACATCTTCTGCGCTGTGGCGGTGGTGGCCGGGTGGGAGGAGGCCGGGGGGCCCACAGAGCTCATGCTGGCCGGGGAGCCCGCGGAGCTGGCCGACATGTCTCGGATGATCATGCCCGTGCTGCCCGGGGTCACCCCCATGCTGTGGGCCATGTTGCTGGTCAGGCTGCTGGGGCTGTTGCTCACACTGCCAAACTGCTTCCCGCTCATGGGAACTTGGGAGAAGCCCGGCCCGCTGGTTCCCATGAATGTGTTCATCTGCTGGCTACTGTGCGGAGGCGACTTGATCTGGGGATGGGGAAATGAAAAAGGAAAACAAAAGCATTAACACGGTCCAACAGTAACCAAAAGGTTTTTTATCAGTGTTACGGTACTTGCAACACAATAAGGTCATATAAGTGCCCAAGATTAGGTGCGTTACAAGGGAGTAACAAACACACACAAAATAGGGAGAGATAAGAACAATAGATGTTTGATAGGAAAGAAGACGCAAATCACACCAGAGCACCCTCCAACCACCCACAGCCAATCCAACAACCCAAAACCAACTAGAGTAAGTTAAACAAAAGGTTATGCAAGTAAGAATACACTGATGAGAAAGTGATAAGAATGGTTAAGGTGAACTAACTTAAATTCATTCAAGTTTTAGTTTTAGTAAGAGTTTTACGGCACTTGCAATATACAATAAGGCCATATAAAAATTCCGTCAAAGCATAAAAAACATTTACAGTATCACTACCAACAACAATAAACTGAGGTACCTGTGAACTGCGCTGCATGTGGAGCTGAGTCTGCTGGGCGTGCCCCATGTGCTGAGGGTGGCCCATGTGCGACTGCTGGCTGTGGGGGCCCATGTGCTGTGGCTGCGGCTGAGGCTGCTGGCTGTGGACAGACACCATGCTGCTGAATGGAGAACCCTTGCTGCTGGCCGACGGGCCCAGCGAGTGCTGCTGGGGTGCCGGAGCCTGCGCCAGGCCGTGGCTCAGAGACTGGTGTAAGGGCACAGCCGCAGGGGGAGCTTCCAGGGTGGGGCCCGATTGTAGGGCCAAACCCAGACCATGGGGCTGGTTACTGAAGGCTTGGACCGAGAACTGGTGGGCACTAGAGCCTCCCTGGATGGGACCCTAGAGGACAAACAGTTTAGTTTAGTTTTCAGTAAGAGTTTTACGCCTTGCAACACAATAAGGTCATATAAGTGCCGAAGATTAGAGACGTTACAAGAGAGTAACAAGCACAAAAAGAATGAGGGGAGATAGAAACGATAGATTTTTTTTCTAGGAAAGAAGGAGCAAACCACACCATAGCACCAGCCAACCACCCACTAGAGGCCAAACAAAATACACACAGACACAATAACGGTGCTATAGTGCTGAGAAAGTGCAAGACATGAGAACAATATATAGAGTAAGTAAAGAAGTTATGACCTTGTAGAAACCCTCCAATCACCACACAGGCAGAAACAACATTGGAAAAGTAAAGAGGACCAATGAGTGAAAGAAGTTGAGCTTATCAGAAACAACCTCTAACCACCCACACATACAGAAACAACAGAGCAGGAGTACAGAAGTAAACCCTGCCAGTGGCTATCTCTCCCCCCAAATCCAATTTACACCATAACACATATTCTGAGATCTGCACTAAGTTCTGTACAATTTCTTTAATTTGGTAAGGACTACTTACCCCAACTTGAATGGCAGAGCTGGGCTGTTGTGCAGTAAAGAAGTTAGCTGCTGGAGCTTGCTGGAAAAAGGAGGAATTCGGCTGCACTTGTGTCCTACAAATAAAAAACCAGGACAGTATAAATCATTCAACATAAAGAAACCACATAACGGGCTGGGGTACATTATATGGGGTTGTAAACATCCTGTCGAAACTAAGACAGCTGTCTTATAGGTCAATATAACGTAAAAAAACCCAAAAAATTTTAAAATAATAAATTAATTTAAAAATAGGCAAGGGAGGAAATGGGAAGAGACCATTTGTACTGGTGATTGTCCTATGCAGCACACCCCTATAGCACTTTCAACTAGAATAAGAGAACAAAAACATAAAATCCATAAAACAAAGGGACCCAAATATATAGTTAAGTTTTGTGCACAACTGTTCAGTTTTTGAAAAACAAACATAGATATGGTACCTTAAAGCTAAAAAAAAAAAAAAAAACCCAAAGAAACCTGAAATGCACAGTTGTACAAATCTAAAAGAAGGCATAATTTCAGTTGAGCCCTTTTTTGGGGGTAAAGGCTCTACTTTCCCTCTGAGACAAAAGGAGTACAAGTTTTTTCCAGTAGTTGCCTTACCTTTGCACCAGCTGAGGAGAACCAATAATCTGCGAGCTACTCAGGTTCTGGCTGGGCTGACTGCCCCCAATCAGCTGACTGTGTGGCTGGAACAGCTGACCCAGTGGAGACGTTGGGTCATAGAAGAACAGCTGCTGCGACGGAGCTCCGCTACTCAGGCCACCACCAAACGAGATCTGGTTTGGACCAATGCTTTTGTTCAAAGGCTCTGGAAGAAAAATAATTGCCAAATAGTTCACTTATGTACACACACAAATCAAATTCCACAAATAAAACAAACCAAAAATTAAAAACTAATTACAAACATTTTCAGTGATACCATAGTTCACTTATGTACTGTAGCACACCCCCACCCCTCCCCCCTTTGCTACCATCATCAAGAAAACAGGAGCTAAAAACGAACATACAAACTAGTTAGAAAGTTGGAAAGAAAAGTAGTTTTGTTTGTGGAGGGGTTGTGAAAAGTGAAGCACATCCACACAATATTGGTCATTTAGAGCAAGGAGCATGAAAAGAACAAGAACCAGGGATAAGAAAGAAGTTGGACATATCAGTACCCCCAACCACCAACACAAATCCTTCAGAGTATAAGTAATCACACACACACACACGCAAAAACACATGTACACACGCACACACACACATGCATGCATGCATACACACGCAGGGTCCCCACCAAATCCTGGAAATTTTTTCAAGACCCCAATTCAAGGGAAAAATCAGGCCGCTGCGCGTCAAGAATGATCCCCCAAATAGCCCATCTATCAATGATAAAAAGTCAAAATGTTTTTGAATGCACATGTACATTTTGTAATAGTCTTCAAACAATAGCACCCCACACACATGTAGGTACAATATATCCAGTCAACAATATGTCAGTGTGGCACTGGGATCTTGTGTGACTGGTATTTCAGCCCTTTCTTAATTATTTATATTTTCTCCTCCTCATATTAGCCTAAATAAACTATAGACCCTATTAAAAAATGAATCTTGTTTTGAGCCTGAGAAAAGACCTAGAACTAGAATATCGATTGCCAATAACCAGTCTTGGTGTCATGATTCATATAATAAATGTGAAGACGAAAACTATTGCTCAAACTCAAAGTAGAGTAACATTAGTGTAATAACTTGAATGGCTCAAATAGACCTATTCAGTGTGAGAGGCGTAAGAACTGACTCTTACTGAGGAAGGGCAAGATGCAGTGACACTGAAAATCTGCCAATCTTGAACAGAAAGCTAAAATATAGATCATATAAATTACAATCACCCCATCCAATGAAACGCGAACACTTTAGTTCAATAACAAGGCATGACGGATCCCGATTCCACACGAGGCCTGCACCAACGTGCGTTTTGCAGAGAGCTCTTAGACCTATACAGTAGTAAGCTAGTTCTCAAAATTCTAAATACTAAAATTTTGCTTCCAAGTTAAGTTTTTGACCTCTAGCGTTGCCTTCAGCTCCCCCCCGCTCCCCCACCATCCCCTTCCCTGAGTGTATCTTATAATTCTAAAAAAGCAATACCCCCCATTCCGGAGTCCTATACTTCACAGCGCTCAGACCGCTGGTACTCACACTCACAGGTTCATTGACCGGTCACGATGGCGAACGTGACAAGACGCTTGTATAACTTTCTTTTCTTTTCTTTTTTCACAAGTGACAGCAGAGAACAAATTGTTAATAATTTATTTTCAAGGCGACACAGCGTCCGTAATGCACAACCTGCATGTTACAAATGCTGCGTTCTCTATCAGACTATTACCGGAAAATTTCTGGGTGGTAACGAAAGCAGAAGTAAATCTTGATTCTTCCCGATAGAGCCTCGGTGTCACACATACACTTCCGCCTGCTGCCATAGTGGTTCAATTACGTGTCCTCTTCGTGATTCATCAACCATACTGTCCAGACAGCTACACTACCAATATTACACAGGCCCTATCCTTTCCCGACTTACCGACCCATCACAAAATTCCAGACTTTTTCCTGACCCATCTCAAAATGCCCGACTTTTTTCCCGATTTCCCGACCTGGTGGGGACCCCGCATGCACGCACCCTATTAAAAAAAAATCAAGTAAAAAAAGGTCGGGTACCTGCACTGAAGGCAGAGGACGGCCCAGGAGCTGCAGCGTGGGACGGCCCCGGAGCCTTGATGTTGGTGGACATGAGGGCCGAGGTGGCCGACGAGACCATGATGGTGCTCTGCTGGGCCGGCGGGGGAGGGGGCGGGGCCGGGGCCGGCTGGCCAAAGGCGTGGCTGCGCTGCTGGAAGCCCGGGAACAGCTCGGGCTGAGTGGGGGTGGAGGGCACAAACAGGCTGGGCTGGCTGAAGGTCTGCTGGGCCAGGGGCCCCGGAGGCTGGTGCTGGGCTCCCAGGGCGGCCTGCGGCTGGGGCTGAGACAGGCTGAAGCCAAAGCTGGGCTGCGAGTACTGGGGACCGGACAACAACGACAACCGTAAGGCAACTTTCAGAGAACATACTTTAGTACTCAAATAAATGTTTTGAGTGTGAGCCGCAAGGAAAGGTAACTACACCCAGTTTCTGAACTGGAAGTACATTAAAAAAGAACTAGCTATGAAGCCCTGGAAAGTAATTTGAACCAATCTTGAGGCATTGAATGTTAAGTTGACAAAGCCACTTTTAACTCGAGCAACAGATGTAAAAAAACGAAACACTATCTTAGTTTTAGTAAGAGTTTTATGGCACTTACTGTACAATAAGGTCATATAAGTGCCAAAGATTACAGGTATTACAAGAGGGCAACAAACACAAAAAAGGAGGGGAGATAAAGACAATGGATGTTTGATAGGAAAGAAGAAGCAAACAACATCAGAGCACGCACCAACCACCCACAAAACTCGATCTCAGTAAAAACGTTCAATAAAAAGAACAGTAAGTTTGATCTTGCAAAACACTTTCAAATACCATTTGTGTACTGTATTTTAAAAATATGATAGAAAATAGGTCAGAGACCTGGCTTGTTTCTTAAGTACATCCACACAAAAACTCATTTAGTATGGGATTAACTCAAGATGACATCAGACAAACAAATTTGAGAAAGAAAAGAGTGACCTGCCAGTGGAACCTTCCAAACACCTGTCCTGATTCTGAGTTATTTATAATTTCCCTCTCTACATTCAAAATTATGACGGAAAACCTTAAGCTCTCACAGGCCTCCCCGCGACTCACCCTTTGCTCCTGAGGGACAAACTGAGAACCTAGTTGGAAGGCAGGGAAGCCATGCTGACTGGCCAACACCACAGGAGGGCTGGCCACTGTAGGCATGGGTCCAGTGATCCCAGAGGACAAAACCGACATGGATCCAGATTCATTGCTCAGTCCAACCTGAAGTTGCTGAGGTCGCACCTACAGAGAAAAGGTAAATAAAGAGTGGGTTATGTGATGGCACATTCCTTGCAATGGCCAAAAGCAAATTTCATTCACACAATACAAACTGGTAAAACCTGGATTAAATCCGAGGATAATTTATTTGAAATGTCATAGCACATAAAACAAGCAGACAAACTACCAGACAAACTCCAGAAGGTGAACCTTTGAGAAACAGTCTTGTGGTTAACTCTACCAAATGCAATAAATCCTATTAGGATCAGTTATCTTCAGAATACTAAGATATGTGCTCAAATGCTAATATATAAAATGTTAACAATAATCCAATAGAAACACTTTGATTAGAATCTTTCCAATAAGTCTTTACCCAATATAGTATCAACCTCTTGCATCCACCACAGATCAGAATATATATTTATCTCAATTTTCACTTTTAGGTTTTTGTTTCTACCCAATGAATATAAATACCTTGCATACATTTGTAGGCTCTAGGGCGATGGCCTTGTCGTCAGGGCTGGGAGACACCACAGTCTGGGCGAGGTCCACCTCATTCATCAGGGCCGAGGTCTCGGCGGGGTGTGGGGAGTGCAGTCTCTGGATCACAGGGGAGTGGCTGGGGCCGCCGCCCCCACCCTGTGGACCCACCACAGGGCCAGTGTTGGGGCTGCTCGACTCCTCCACCAGCTGCTGTTGTTGCTGCTGCTGTTGTTGCTGCTGCTGTTGTTGCTGTTGCTGCTGTTTGTCACCGTTCATGGCACTGACACTGACGCTGACGCCACCACCGGAACCCACCACCTCGTGGGGGAAGTTGGTGTACACACCACCAGTGCTGCTGCCCCCAGTGTTGCCACTAGCGTTGTTGGCGTTGGCGTTAGACTGGAGGTTGTCGCTGGTTGTAGCACTTGGCGTACTCTGGGCCAAACTAGTCCTGGGAAGCGGGTGGGAGGAATCAAAGTATTTGTGATTATGTCTTTTATTTATTTTTTTAAAAAATGATTTGTGACTAGAGATATGCTTTTCAAGAAACCGAATCACCAATAGCAACTGCCTATATGCCAAACCAAAAATGTGTTAACTTCAGGAATTATTAATAATTCGGGTGACCAATAGGCTTGCAATTCTTGGAAAAAAATTCTCTGAAACAGTGATAAGCCTAAATCTTGGGGGTGGGGAGACCTATGAGCTGAACTCTGGCCCAAAAAAAAATGTTTGGGGGGAGGGGGAGCAAGACACCCCCCCCGAGCTGTATTCTTTAGTGTGTATGTGTGCATCTCGAGAGGGGTGGGATGGAGTATGAGCTGTACTCTTGCAACTGGTTATTGATCCCATAAAATATTTTTAATCTTTTCACAACTTGTACAGAATCATGAAAGGACAAACTGGCTTTGTAACAAAAATAACACCATACCATTCCACACAAAAAAAAACCCATCATAGCAGGAGTCTAGAAAGAAATAATTTATTACGGGCAAACACCCCTGAAATAACTACAGTCGAACCTGCCCTGACGGCCATCTCTATAAGACGGCCACTCGTCCAACGCGGCCGCGGCCACCATATTTTAACTCTTTTTATCCGGGCTACGAGTATACTCGTAACGAGGACCAGTCCGGGCTACGAGTATACTCGGAACAGCGATACGGTCACGTCAAAGAAGCTAGTTCTGCTTGTAATTACCAAAATACGCAAATACGGCGATGCTAGCTCTGTCTGAATATTTTAATTTTCCAATGAACAGTGATTTCTTTGTTTTTGATGGGTGTAGAAGCTTGAAAGATGTCTCGAAAACACACATTCACGACCGACGAAGTACTTTTTGAAGTGGCGCTGGGTTGTGAGGGGGAAAGATACTAATTTGATGAAAGTGACTCTGAAATAAGTGCCGTAAATTCCGTTGTGGATGACAAGAAACAGGACTTAGACTCGTCTAATAGCGATTCAGATCATGGTGAAAGGGTCAGTACTGGAATTCATGCTCGGTGGGTAGGGATAGATCTAGATCTATAAAATCCAATGGGATGTCGTGGGCGCGGCAATCAGGGTCAAGTTCGAGGGTGGAATATACACCTCAAAATCTACATTGCGCTATTGGTGTATTTCCTAACCACATACATTTACAAAAACTACATTCAATTTCTAACATAACTGCCAAATGTCCTTAAAATTTTAGAGTAAATGTAAGAAATAAGGCACTTTGAACTATACGCACTGACTTCCAACTCGAACAGCGCGGCGGCCCCAGGACTGGTACAGAGTCCGTGGCGGTACGGCTAGGATAAAACGAGTTAACATACAACCCCTATCACGCTAAGCAATAACACCTGTCTTAGACGGTCGCCTTAGTGACTCCATTACATTTTGTAATTAATTGTGCATTGACCCCTGGCGTTGTGGGCGAGCCGTCATAATCTAATCACCTGTTGTTGTTGTTAGATAGTCCCTCCAACCGATCATGTTGCGTAGGCCCCTCCCACTGTTGACCAATAGCTACCAATTTCCAGCTTGTGAGGGAAACGTGTGATCCCTTATAACCAATAAGCCCGCCCAGAACTCATACACAAATCATCAGTGAGATGAGTGATCACTGTTTTACCCAGTCTGTAACAAAGTAACAATGGACGTCAACATGGACTTGTGACAGAAGCGTCGCTCGTTCTTCGAGTGGTGGCGACCCATAATATGTATGTTCTACCATAGCACTCGGTCCTCCTTGTCTGACACATTTCGTTTTATTGTCACCCTTGCACAGAATCAGCAACAGAATAAAAATAACAAACAAAATACAACAAAAACAACAATAATGCGGCTACTTTCGATTGGGAATGGGGTTTGTTTTTTTCATCTCGATCAGTCCTGCCTAAGATGGCCACCTGTCTTATACGGCCACTTTTCTCCTTGATAATGGGTGGCCGTTTTACACAGGTTTGACTGTACTAAAAATTGAAAAAAAAATTTTTTTTAGCCTTTCATTCCTAAACAGCAACATCAGGGCTTATCAACAAAAATCAGTAACAGGAAAAACTTCCACATACTTGTGTTCATAGGAGGCCGGGAGCGGATCCCAAACATTTTTCACAGAGGCAATCTTGGAGGTGAGGTCCTCAGTAGCAGGAGAGGTGGGGGACATGATGGCCTGCTGGTTGTTGACGGGAGCCGACAGGCTGATGTTGTCGCTGTGTGCCGGGGCAGATTCCACCTTCTCGGGGGTGCCCGGCTGCTCGGGCAGCGTGGTCAGAGGGCTGGCCAAGCTCTCGTCGTAGCGGAAATCCAGCTGAAGACCGGATTCATCACCCTGAGGACAAGTTCGTTTAGTTTTAGAAGAGGTTTTACGGCGCCCACCACAGCATAAGGTCATTTGAGCGCCAGAAAATTATGTGTTACAAGAGAGTAACAAACATTAATTTTTTTAAAAGGATGGGAGATATGGACAACAGATGTTTGGTTGAAAAGAAGCAAACCACACCAGAGCACCCGCCAACCACCCACAAGCACACCTACTTATTGACAACAAGAGGTTGCAAAGACACAACATGTTTCATTGCATTTTTTTTTCTTCGAGTCTATAGGTTGTCAAAGCAAACAGGAAATTAGGACAACTTGAAATAATGGGACTCAAATTTGCATCTGTATTCGAAGACAAACTTATACACCAAGGTAAAACCACTACATACAGTCCAATCTGATGTAACAGCAACCTGTAAAAGACAAACACAGGTACAAACGGCCACTTCCCATTTCCTCCCTTGTGTACTTGGTAACATGAAGATGACACTCCAAGACGGCCCCTTTTCTCCTTGGTAATGGTTGGCGGTCTTACGACAGTTTTAATTGTCTTACAGCACATTTACTAGGTGTACCAGTTGCTAATGTCGTAACCTACCCTTTACCATACTGCTTTTAAAGAAACGATTAAACTTGCGTAATCGACAGATATCGAAATACAGCTGCCAACGGAGTTACGAGATGCTCATCAACACAATAAGTCATTTAAGACCGGGCAAACGTAAGAGAGATGGAAACAACCACAACGGACCACACATTCATCTCGCAGCACTTAAATGACCCTTTTTTCAACAAATCAAAAGACAACCACACTCACTTTCCCAAAGATTGAGTCCTTAAAACTAGGAGGCATCTGAATGGGTTCAGGTTTTGTTTCTGGAACTTCTTTACTTGGGGATCCCTCCATTTTCTTCATCACCTTCATTGAACTGTCTGGCTTAACCAGTTTCTCACTTTTGCTCACCTGAAAAAGAAAATTTGATTAAACTCGAGAATTTTGCTGGTAGATAAGGACTATCTAATTCAATAAGCACTTAAAAACAATTTTCAAGACCATTTGTCCAAAGCAGGCAATAAAAGAATCATCCGAGATCAAGCAGAGAGCTACTTAGCTACTTATCTGAAATTAGCATTCTTTTGATAAAATTTTCATCGGGGGCGGGGCGGGGCGGCGCCTGTATGTTGAGAAGGAAGAGCCTACCAGTGGCATGAAAAGGGGGGAAATTTTACACAATCACACAATACAAGTCCAATATCATCATTTTCTATGACTTGTGGGGATCCCTGCTGTACCTTACTTTAAACAAAAAATGTCAATCCTGTAGTTACCTTTGGAGCCCGTTGGGGTTTTGGGATTTCCATACCCTGATCAATGGAGATGCCATCATTTCTCTGAAACAGAAAGAAACAATTATAGGTGAGACAGGAAGAAAACTCACTCATCTCGTTTTCAAGTGAACAGCCATCAAATACAAATCTAAATTTCCCCTCTCAGTAGTAGTAGTATAAGGTTTTACGGCGCTCGCAACTGCTAAGGTCATATGGGACGATATGTAGTAGTAGTAGTATAAGGTTTTACGGCGCTCGCAACTGCTAAGGTCATATGAAACAAAGGTAAAAAAGAAAACATACTGACCATAGGTTTAGTGGCAACTTCTAATACTTATACGCTTACATATCATGGCAATGCCGTATTCAGTTATTCAGTTATGCTCCCAACATAGCTTTTCATCCTACTCAGTCATTGTTTTTAACGTGAAAGATCAAAGTCCACCTCTTACCTCTTTTCTCCCACAAGAGAAAAGTTGCAAAATGAACAGATATCTAATTGGGAAGGCTGAAGTACAAAGCAACCAAGGACAGACACCCTCCCCTAAACCCTTTAAAGTCGACAGCAGTGATCGAGTGAGACCCTTTCAAAGTCGAGAGACACTGATCTCACTGAGCACATTTTCAGCTGATTTTATCCCATAAAACCAGGATCTTAATGGTAACAGAACAAAATTCAGTCTTTACACACAAAAAAATGGGACCTAGGCCCAATTGAAATGATGCTAGACATCTCTGAAGACGAACTGCAAAAATTCAAATTGTTATAGAACAACTATGAGAATATTCAAGTTTATCTCATTAAAAACAATTCACAGTAGGGATTTGTCACACACAAGCTTGTGGCCTTGTCACACAACAAGACCACCAGTGGCAATCCTTGATGCAATAGTTGCCAGTAATTGGATGAAGTATTTCGGCTTTTGGCAACTGAGTAGAAAATAAACACCATCTAGAACCAAAAGCAACACAACAAGTCACAACAGAAAGCAATGCATCACAAAGGAAACATCCAAGCCAAAGGATTCACATGCAGGAATAAAATCAAGGGACAAGCCATTTCAGTGTCAACTTGCCAATGAAAAAGAGAAAGAAAGAACACTCTTCCATTTTCCCCCCTAAGACAGTATTCCAGGCCCAGCTTTGTTCATGACTCAAAAGGACCAACAGCTCACAAAACAAAACCAGCTTGACTGCACTAAACTTCCTTTATAACTCAAGACCAATAAATGCTTAAAATCTGACGCCATAACCATGAACGTGCATGAAATGGACATACGTAGAAAAAGGAGCAACAGGGTAGCCAGAGGAACAGCAGTGAATCTGAATCCCCTTCCCTCACAGGTCCAACCAAAGAGCCAAGAGAAATGAGAGCATGCTATTAAGAAGTAACAACATCAAGACTAAAAGATAGGGTTACATCACAAATAAAAAGCCATGCATAAACGTCTACAACCAATCAATAACAAAGATAAAGGAATGACATAATGAGCATTACATCACTTGAGCCCTAGTCATGGGGAAAAGACACATGAGCAGATAAGCCACATAGCTATTGCTCATATTTTTGGTGTTACAATGTGGTATTTTCAATCACAAACTTTGAGCAGAAATGTTTTTTGAAATTTGATTGATACCAAATTATTTAATTTGTGGAAAAGGTTTCACAGATGAGTAACAAGTATTATACAGAAGAGAAATGTGTCTTTTATTAGAGTCAAAAATTAAGTCAGAAGTTTGATATTTTCTTGCTGGAAATTTTTTTTTTGATAAAGTGAAAATGGCCAATATGGAAGGACCACTGTAATTCCACATACTGAACATGGCTGTGTGAGTAACGATTATACATTACCTGTTAGCACCATGCTAAACAAAGTACCATTAAAAAGAAAGAGGAAAATCATAACCAAAGAGAGGCATCTAAAGGGGGTACTGTTGAGTAACAGAAAATGATCACCGATGATGACAAAAGTGAAAGAGAAGAAGCACAATTTGTTGCCTTGAGCTGAGATAACAACATAGCTATGACCATCAAGCAAACTGTTGTCATGGGGTGAGGAGAACGGAAGGACAACAGAGAAATAAACCAAGCAACCTCGTCAAAAGGCGGGGGTAGACTACAGAGTTACGTCCATCAAGCAAACGGTTTGAGACTGCGAGTGTGCATGTGTAAGTGTGTACCTTGAGGCCCAGGGCCAGCGCCTCAGAGCCTGCACCTTGTGAGGGGACAGTGCTGGAGGAGGAGATGAGCTTGTTATCAGCACTGGGAGAGCTCCGGGTGGATGAGCTGGCAGAGTTAGGCTGGTCACTTACATCTATGCCGCTGTCGTGCTGGTCCCCCTTGTCCAGCTTCACCTCCGCCGGGACCACCACCACAGCCTGCTGGTGGCCGTGACCCACGCGTGACACCCTCGACCCCTGACCACCCGCAGCGGGGGCCACCGGGGCCGTCTGTGGTGGCGCGGCGGCGGCGGGAGCAGAGCCCACTGGGGTGGTGGAGGCTCTTAAGTTGATGGGCTTGGACCAGGCGCTGATGGCTGGAGCTGGGGCTGGGGTCATCGGCAGAGAAGCCACTGCCGAAGACAGGCTGGCTTTGCCGCTGGCAACAACAGCCGTGCTTGCTACAGAAGGCCCAGACTCTGGAACAGAGAGGGCGATAGTTTTCTTTCATGGTAAGAAGTGAAGAGAAGCACAAAAAGACAACAACACAAATTTAGTGCGAGGGTAAAAGTTCTACAGAGAGACAGAGAAAGAAAAGAGCCATGTACCTGTGGCACCCTCCAACCATCCACGAGCAATAAATAGAAAAGAGAAGCACAACATGTAATCAGATTTTAGGAACAGCTGAAAAGAAACATTTACTACATGGGAAAAAACCACAAAGCCTACCAATTTTTAGGAAGCTCAGCTCATACACATGGCACTATTTACTCCTCAAAATATTTCCTAATTCTTCTCCTCCTTCAAATTCCTGGTCTGAAACAAGACAACCACAACCATGGTTCGCCACTTATTTCAAAGCTAAGATATTCTTTAAAAAATAAAATAAAACTCACTCTTAATTCAAAAAAAGAAGGGAAAAAAACCCATCACTTTATTAAAATAACAGACATTCACTGTATTACTGAGTGACAAAAACTAGAGCAAAAGGGCAAAGTTTCTCTCACCTGCCACATCCTCAGTGCCCATGGAGACGGCCGTGCTGACCGAGCCAGCTCCTGCCGAGGGGATGGCGTCCATGTTGGAGAGCAGGGAGGGGATGTTGTTGGCCAGCTCGTTGTCCCACAGTTCTATCTTGGGCATGACGTTCTTGGTCAGCTCCTTCTCCTTCTCCCGTTGCTCTCGCTGCTTGGCCAGCCGGGGCGGCAGTTTGGTCCCTTTGACGGCTGTACGGCCAGACTTGGGGCTCAGGCCCTTAGGGCGAGCTACCACCTAGCAGACACAGAAATACAAGTTAGTTTTAGTCAAGTGAGTGGTAGAGGAAACACAATTCTATGATTTGAAAATACACAATATTAGGACAAGTGGCATTACAAGGAACTCCCAGTTCCGTGCAGTCACCTTGCTTTCCCCTAAGGATCTAGTCATATGAAACAAATTCTTTAATTTTCTGAGTACTTCAACCTGTTCAGAGCATCTGACAAGTATCAACTAACAACAACTAGTTTTTAAGTTTACATCACAACATTACCAGGTGTCACCTCGTGTATCATTACGAACTAAAAACAAACTAAATCTTTCATGAGAAAAAAAAAACAAGTAACAGTTCAAATGAGATTCACTATATTTCCATCAATTAAAATTCAAATGGGACAAATTCATGTGAAAACCATTGAAATGCATCATTCAAACCAGCCACAAACAGAAAATACAAACCTTGTTTAGATGCTCTTTCTTCTTTTGAGCTTCTTTCTCACTTTTCTTTTGTTCAGCCTCAATTAATTTCTGTTTGATTTTCTGGGTCCTCTTAGAGGTAACTTCCTGAAACCCCTCATTGCTCTCAAACAGGAAATTCGGGTCATCAATAGTGACCTCCTGGAGATCATCAACAACCACCACACCTGAGGACCACAAAGGGAGAAAGAACAAGAACTTAGTTCAAAAGCAACAAGTTTGGTTTGGTTGAGTAAACAGAAGTATATCAGACACGAAACCTTTCGTGCAAGGAAAACAGAACAAAAAACAAAAGGAACAAAAAGAAGTACAACATATCACCGGTGCCAACTACAACCCACATTCAAAATTTCAGACCATAAATTTTTAAAAATCTGTCTGCTGGTAACGGGGCACAGGAATACTACAGTTTCCTATGCACGAAGCCAACATTTTTCTTTTCCTGTTGCTATCATTACATCACAGCTCTAGATACCGAGATGCACAAATGTCTTCACAGGACTAAGGAAACAATAAATACAAAGTTCAAAATTTTACTGGAAAAAAACAACTTTTATCCCCTATAAAATAGTAATGCTCTTATCTTAAGTAATAATGAATATAAAGATGAAATCTGGGACTTCAGGAAGCCAAGTTTGTCAGTAAGTTGTGATTTATTTGTTCCATAAAAGAGAAGCATGTAAGTCATTTGCTACTAGGGAGGGGGGAGAGTAGGACAGACAGAAACAAGAGATGGGAAGAAAAGAAGTACGGCCAACCAGTAATACCTTTTAACCACCCAACAACAACTATGAATTGATGATTGATGGATATGACAGCTAGACATACAGTGACGCAAAACCAAATGTGAGGGAAAGAAATTCAATGAGAATGAAATGTTTGTCTGCTGGTAACGGGGCACAGGAACACCACAGTTTCCTATGCACGAAGCCAACATTTTCTCTTCCTGTTGCTATCATTACATCACAGCTCTAGACACCGAGATGCACAAATGTCTTCACAGGATTAGGGGGAAAGTATTTAGACATTCAGTGCGACGAAAGAACAGAAATGTAAATCACCCGCAGTCATTCAAATGAACACAAAAAAAAAAGCCATCCTTTTCTCTTCACTTCCCCATATCAAAGCATGATGCAAAAATTCTACATTCATTATCATTGCACGACTTTCATGGGATCATACATCTTGAACCCAGGTCTAACCAACTAACAGTCCAAGAAAAAAAAAAGCCCATTTAATATTTTCTATAACATTCAGCTGCTCGCTAAAAGACACAAGTAAATAATCCTAAAAAACATTCTCAGCATGGCAGGCCCAAGCATGGTTCGAAAGAAGTCAAATTTCATGAACATACACTAGTTCAGGAAAAAGTAAACTGGTAAATAAACAAAAAACACCAGACTAATTATTAAGCATTGACAATAAATAATAAATAAGCATTGACAATAAATAAGAAAAAAGAAAAAAACTACAAGAACCACCACATAAACTCAGCCCAAAGAGTCAACAACTGTCTGCTGGTAACGGGGCACAGGAACACCAGTTTCCTATGCACGAAGCCAACATTTTCTCTTCCTGTTGCTATCATTACATCACAGCTCTAGACACCGAGATGCACAAATGTCTTCACAGGATGGGGATATTTAAACATCTAGTGCCACCCAAGAATAAACATAAATGTATATCATCTGCACAGTCATCGAAATGGAACACAAACAAAGCCATCCTTTTCTCTTCACTTTTCCATATCAAAGCAGGACGCAAAAATTCTACATTCTACATTCATTGTCATTGCATAAATGACTTTTGTGGGATTATATAGTTTATACTTAAGCCACCCAGACCTAACTCGCAAAAAGCCTGGAAAAAAGCCCACGTAACTTTCTCTACAACTGTCAGTTGCTCGTTAAAATTGAAACTAGAACCACTTAACTGACAGCATTCGATAAGTGAATTAAAACTAAAACAGTAAACATTCTCAAGATGACAGGCCCAAGCTCAGTTCGAAAGAAAACAAAAAAGACCAGACTAACCAATAGATAACGAATAAAGAGGGATAAAAACCGTACAACCACCACATAATCTCAACGCAACGAGTCAACAACTGTCTGCTGGTAACGGGGCACAGAAACACCAGTTTCCTATGCACGAAGCCAACATTTTTCTCTTCCTGTTGCTATCATTACATCACAGCTCTAGATACTGAGATGCACAAATGTCTTCACAGGGTTATCAAGCAAGGTAACTTGAATGTATAAAATTGTATATAAACTGAGTTACTAAAGCTGGCATCACAAAACAATTTACACAAAGACTACATTGATCTCTGTTGACACAAATCACAGGTGAACATGATTAATACCTGCAAAGTTGTTGATGTCGATGTTAGCTAGGGCATCTTTCTTTTCCTTTTCTGTCTTCACAGGTTTTGCAACATCAGCAAGTTCAGTTTTCTTACCAAGTTGTTTCCTGTTAGGGAAGGAAAAAAAAAAAAAAAAAGAAATCTCAATTTGTCCCCAGAGTGAAATAAATTTCAACATATAAGGTGAGCAATGAAAACATTCCACAATGCACACCATCATTGAAGATCCGTCCGTGAGTAGTTCTGAATACAGGGACTACTACTTGACGTTTATTTACAATGGAGAAACAAACCCCCTCCAAAAACTTAAACAGAACATGGATTATCAAACCATCTGTACTAATTCTGTATGGACAAGTTCTCGGACCAAAATGAAACAGTTACTTTAACAGTCCAAATTAAGTCAAATTCAAATGTGAACCTAGCCAAACCAAAAGGAAAAAATCAACAGCTTTCACCTATTTTTTATTTGGAAGTGTACTCTTCCAAAACAGAAGAAGAAAAAAAGGCCACAGCATAAAAGTACAAAGGGGCTATATACAGTGAAACCTACCACAGCAAACACACACACACACACACACAAAGAAGCCAAAGTGCTCAAAACACAATAAATCAAATCTTTACATACAGCAGAGATTGTCAGTCCAAACATGTTCAACTTACTTGGCATGCATGTTGTTGATGGCATTGTTGATGGCGTTGGGGTCACTGGGTACTACAGAGTCCACCCTGAAGACAAAGTTCTCCTTGTGGTTGGCCACGGCCGATTTGTTTTTAGGGGAGGTCCCATTGGCCGCCGATTTGGTCGGCGGCGCTGCCCCGTTTTTTGGATTCTGTTTAGAATCTTTGTTAGAATTGCGGCTCTCCACACTTGCGCGAGAGTCCTGGTTGTTCACGCGACGACTGTTTTGTCGGTCGCCGAACGGCCGCTGACTAGAGATACTCTTTTTCATAGCAGAGCTCTCTTTCTTGTTTTCCCGGGACTCTCGCGAATCGTTTTTTGGCTCACTGCTTTCTGAGGCAGTCTCCCACTCTTCCCCTTCATTAGAAGCCTGCTTGGTCAGCACTGGCTTCTTGGAGCTGAGACTTGCTGGGGCACTGGCTCCACGACCTCTCGACGATCGGCCACGCCCGCTGCCCCTCTCTGAACCTCGACCTCTGCCCTCTGTCATGCCTCCACGTCGGAACCTTGGGGGAGGTGGGTTTCGGTTGTCTTGTCGCCTTCCATCTCTTCTGCCAGAGAGAAAAAGAAGCCAATAAGAGCCATTCAAAACAGTAGAAAACCAAGCAATCTCAAAAACTATAAAGAAAATGCACTTCTAAAATACTGTATATCCGATAGACAGCACAAACAGCAAAGTAGAAACACTAAGAAGGAACACACCATCAGTAAGTGGGTGATGAAGTAGTCATCCATACAAGGTAGTTCAGACTGTTTTAGACCATCATCTGGTGTGTGAGTTTGTCAACTATAGCCACATTTCATGCAGTTTCGGAACCACAACAAATCAAATTTATAGAACACACAAAGGGTAAATTTTCACCATTTTGAAAAAACAGTTCAACAACATTTGCCGAGTTGTAGTATTCAATTAAAACACATTGCCCTCAACTGCAAGGGACAATCCAGAACTGTTTCGTGTAAACATGGCACTTAAATATAAACAAGAAAGGTGGGAAAACGTCTAGCTTTTTGTTTGTTTTAGTAGAGGTTTTACGGCGGTCGCAACTGCATAAGGTCATATGAGCGCCATTAGCTTGACTGAATAACAACTTAACAGATGTCAAAACATTGATCACCTATAGCTTCCTCCTTCCATTCGGTTGTCGCGCCCATCTCTTCCATCTCGCACATCCCGTCCTCCATCACGCCCATCTCCTCTGTCCACATTCACATTCTGGCTCCTCCTCCCGTCTTGTCGGCCACCCGGGCCTCCTCCTTGTCCTCCTCCGTTGGGACCACCACTGCCGCCTCCATTGGAACCCACCGGGCCGTAGCCTTGACCGCCACGTCCAGAGGGAGCAGACGTGTAGCGGTTGCCACCTCGGCCTCCGCGGGAACCACCTGCAGAGAAGGTCAACAAAACATCTGGGAAAAAGGAAACATCCACGGCTGTTTTTTGCATGCCAGTTCTCCCCCTCCTCCACCTGAAAATGAAATCCCAAAAACTCTTCCAAGGCTCCACACTTTTCAAGTCTAAAGAAGAGCTTAGGTTGCAATGGCCCCACAGGATAGAGGAAGGCTGACATTTTCAGATTAAAAAATCTTACTGCCCCTTTAGCAGCTATATTTTATAAGTAATATTGAATTAGCAGCACATAAAGATTCAATAAGAGAAAACAAAAAACACAATTTTTTAAAATGCAAATTGTCCCTGAAGAGATAGTAGTCTACATTTACAAAAACTCTCTCTTAAATCTACCAAAATAAAATACTTTTCTTAAAAATAATACTAAAAGCACAAACTCAACCCAAGTCACAAAACACAATTATCAATCTACCTCTGCCCCTTCTCGAGGGTTCTCCACGAGGAAGAAAAACTCCATTGCTTTGTTCCTCCAGCCTGGGGTCCTGGTCTCTTTCCCCTCCTCGTTTGTCTCGATATCTATCTCGATCTCTGTCTCGATCACGATCCCTGTCACGTCTATCGCTCTTCTCCTTATTCAGCCCTCCCTCCTTGCCATCAGGACCTCCTTCCATACGACCACCACCATCATCTCGGTCTCTGTCCCCGCGACGATCGCGATCACGATCTTGCCTGCGCCTGTTGTCGCGATCATCCCTCCGACTCCCACCATCCATACGTTTGTTATCCCTATAGTCCCCGTGACCGGACAACTGATTGTCCCCTGGTAATCTTTCCTGATTGTTCGAATCCCTGGAGTCTTGCCTTTGTTGCCAGACGTCTTTTTTCTCGTCTCTTGGTTCCTCCTTCAGACCAGGCTGGTCCATTCCCCATTCTCCTTTTGGGGAAGGCAAAAGAGGGTTCTTATTCCACGGATTTGGAGGAGGTTGCATACTTGGAAGCATTTTAGGTTCCTGGCTCCATGGATTTTTATTTTCAAGACTAGCCTTCGGCTCCATGTCTCTGCCATCTTTTTCTCTAGCATCAACAAGTCTCACATTTCCACTGGAGCGGACATCTCGGCCATCTTTCTTTTCTTGGCTCTTCCCCGGCAAATTCTCTTTGGGAGCTCTGTTGTCCCTATCCATTCTATTATCTCTCTCGTTTCTATTGTTTTCTCCTCCATGACCACTGCCAACATCCTCACCAGAGCCATCGCTGTGCTCATCTAACTGCACGTGTCTCCTCCCACCACCTTTCATGTAATCCTCTCGGTCGTTCACATCCAGATCTTCTGACGAAAACCCCGGTTTCATCAAAGGTTTGTCCGAGCGTCTTGACCCTTGGCTCCCTCTGTCATAACTAGCAGAGTAGTAATCCCGTCCTCCTCTTCCTCCTCCTCCACCTCCTCCTCGAGTGCTGTAACCTCCTCCACTTCCTCTCACGGACCCACGGCTTCTCCCACGAGACCCTCCTCTGCCTCTCACAAACTCCCGACCACCTCTTCCACCACCACTGCCACGCGGCCGGTCTTTGTCACCTCCTCGGTCCAGGTCTCTCCGATCTCTCTCATCCAAATGCCTTTCCCGACCATCTCGTTCTCTCTCGATATCATCCTCCCTTTTCTTCTTCAACGGGGGCCTGTTACCATAAGGACTGTCAACTCTCTCTTCATAGAGGTCATCAACATCGTTTTCCTCTTTGGGGTATGGGCTGAGATCCACTTTCTCCGGATCTTTGGCTTTTTGCCTGGAAAAAAAAAAAAATAAATAAATGAACAATATACAATCTTTAAAAATCAATTTAATAATAACTTCATGATTATGGGTAGCTTCTCTGCCGTGCAAACCTTGATGCAAAGCCAAAATTCTAAATGAGTTAACAAACACATACATCCATTTCCCGGCAACCGCTTGACACTACTAAAAAAAGTCAACATCCAACAGCCTCAAACCAACAGAGATGTCTGAGCGCAAGCTTGAACGTTGCCGTGATAACGTGAGCAAGTACAACACAGAGCGCACACACCATCAGTGAGTGGGTGATAGACAAAGAGTCATCCTTAATGGGTAGTTCAGTCAACTAACAGGCCATTATTTGGTGTGCAGCTATCACTCTAAGCAAAGCAAAAAAAAACAAAAAAAAAACCACAAATCTAAATCCAACTTGAAAAGGGGGAACGTACATATCTGCCATTACTTAAGCAGGGAGAAAAACAAACACCCCCCCTTTTTAAAAAAACCTAACGAAACAAAACAAACAAACAAAAAAATCTATAAAATCTTTAAAAATGGGACACCAATATACCTGTCTTGTTCCTTGATCTCCCAAGGATTGGGGCGAGGTTGCTCTGGTGGCTTATTCTCTTTGCTCTGAGAAGATTTTGTATCCTTTGGCTGCTCCTGAAACCAGAATGAAAAAGTTTGAGTAAAGAGAAGCACATCCATACAATGGCTATCATTTAGTGCTAGGAATAGTAAAAGACCAATATACAGAAACAACATTAGGAAAGTTTTTAAAAGTACGACTATCAGAAGTACCCTCTAACCACCCAAACTAGAATGACAGGTATCGAATCAAAATCATGCCCACTATGTTACATTTCACTAAAACACTGAAAACTTAACGTCTTCTCAAGTGCTCAACCATCATAAAAAGAAATTCAAATTTGTAAGCAAACTGAACTGTTCTACTTTGAACCCCTTCAATGCCATAGTGATAATAGAAATGCACTAATATTTTCCACATCTCCAGCTATCAGGTAATGCAAGACATGTCATTTCAACAGTTGCAATCAAATATCAAAATCATCTCTATTGAAAAATTTAAGGCATGGAAAAGATTTCTTTAAAACCATTTATTAAATACAGGGAACAAACATAAACAGTGAAAAAGACTTGACTAAAGAAGAATGCAGTGCCTCATTTAAAAGAGAAAAAACACGATAAATCAAATCCACAATATTCTACCCAAATAAAAAGTCAATAAAACCGAATATTATACATTATTACAGCAAAACAGTACAACTGACACCATTTGAACGAAAGCATGACATTTACCAAAAAATCTCGGTCTAAAATTCAAAGATTTGTCTCCTCCATACTGCTTCCACTAAATAACTTACCTTGTTTGTTTCCTTTTTCAGACCAGATGATCTTTCAAAGATCAATATTTCTTTTGGCGAATCGCTCTTTCGCTCCCTGTCTTTATCAGAAGAAGCTGCTGAGCTGCTGGACATATTAGACGCACTGCGTTTCAAAGACGTCAAGCTGCTTTTGGCAGGTCCAGAATTCTTGCCTTGGTCATGGGAAACGGGTGGCGGACAATTCGCTGAACTTGGAGTTTGCCCTGGAGATTAAACAAACATAAACGTTATTACAAAAAGTTTTTGTTTGTTTTAGTAAAAGTCTAAGAGATCAGACATCTAGAGTCTCGTGGTATATTTTTATCAAGTTACAGCTTGAATAAGTTGGAGGTCAGGTAAAAAAAATCACACTGGCACACAAAAAAAAGCATTTAGTACTGGGAACGGACAAGATGGAAAGTTAAGAAACGGGACCTACCAGTGGTGCGCCCACCAGCTCAGTATCACAGAAAAATATCCCCAACCCTATTTATAGTAATCAACACACCATCAGTTAGTGGGGGGTGATAGAAATAGTCATCCTTAATTGACTTCAGTGGAACAATAGACCATCATTTGGTGTGCGCATAGCTACAGTAGAGAGAGGCCCTCAGTGGCCTGCCTTCTAAACCAATCTCAATTGTGAGGTAAACATAAACATTTAACAACCAACTCTTTAATGCACATTAAAGATAGAATATTTAACTTTCAAAAGAAAATAAAAAAAAGCAAGGGAAGAAGAAAAAGAAAAAAAAAGGAAACCATGCATAAAAACGCATTTTCTAAAAGTGATATTCCCCCTGGTATTGTAATGTAACTTCCAAGGCTAAAACTTTTCAGCTGACGTTTCACAAGAGCAGAAAACTTTAATTTACATCTACATGAATACTTCCATCTTGTTGACTTTTTAAATTCCTATTCAGGTGACATTGTCTTGTCTTGACTTTCACTTTCAACTAAGACTATGCGGGATCTCTCTCTTGTTTACTTTTTCAATTTCAGTACGGAAAAGAAAAGAAACACTTGCACACAAAAAAAAAGCAGTCAGGGCTGGGACTGGACAAGATGGAAAGTTGAGAAACATGACCTACCAGTGGTGCCCTCCACCACCCAGCTCAAAATATCCCCAACCCTATTACAGTAGTCGCCGCCTAAGATCCCGGTGCTCGGGAGCAAGGAAATGCGGGACCTTAAGCGAACCAGGATCTTAACCGATGAACCCAGGGAAGAATCTATGGTGACCCATGTTAAGGCTCACAATCGGTAAAATGTTCTCCCTCCACTCTACAATGAACTGACGTGCCCCCTTGGTGGGTTTATGGCACATGGCGAGCAAAGAGTAGTTAACCTTGATGACCTATCACGGTGCATAGTGCCATGAGGCGTGCCATTTTCACTTACTATCCTATCATGAGTCTCAAGATCTACGCTTATCCAGTTGCCCCTCCTCTTTACCTGTCGAAAATTTATAGCTTTCCATCTCTGACCGAGTCTAAACCATGGCACACAAAAAAAGCATTTAGTGCTGGGAACGGACAAGATGGAAAGTTAAGAAACGGGACCTACCAGTGGTGCGCCCACCAGCTCAGTATCACAGAAAAATATCCCCAACCCTATTCACAGTAATCAACACACCATCAGTTAGTGGGGGGTGATAGAAATAGTCATCCTTAATTGACTTCAGTGGAACAATAGACCATCATTTGGTGTGCGCATAGCTGACCAAGTCTCCCCCCCCCCCCCCCGAAACCGCCTTTGTCGCTACACACCATTACGTTGTGAACACACCAATTAAAATTCAGTATGTCTCGAAAATTCGGGAGTAGAGACAACTGCTGCAATGGTCAGGGAAGAGTTCACGGTTCGATGTGATCCCGCCTGGAGCGAACGTGTAGGCCCTACCCACCCAGAGTGATGCAAGTTTAGGTGGCGAGCTCAGGTGTGAGTGCAATAGTGGCTGATCTTTGACGTGACGGACAGTTTATTGATCCGCCTGTGTTTTTGTTTCACAAATTATTATCTGAAATGCGAGATCTTAGCCGAATGTAGACCATCAGAGCGGGATCTTAAAAAATTATGTTTTCCTAAAACAACGGGATCTTAAGCGAATCGGGATCGTAAGCGGTGGTATCTTAGGCGGAGACTACTGTAATAGTAATCAACACACCATCAGTTAGTGGGGGGTGATAGAAATAGTCATCCTTAATTGACTTCAGTGGAACAATAGACCATCATTTGGTGTGCGCATAGCTACAGAATGGGTAGGCCCTCAGTGCCTTCTAAACCATCTCAATTGTGAGGGAAACATAAACATCTTACAACCAACTTTTTAATGCACATTAAAGATAAAATATTTAACTTTTGAAATGAAACTTTAAAAAGCAAAGGAGGAAGGGGGGAAAAAAGGGAAACCATGCACAAAAACTTTTTTGGGGGAAGTGATACTCCCCTTCCCCAGACTGTAATAGCACTTCCAAGGCTAAAACTTTTCAGCTGACATTTCATAACAGCAGAAGGCTTTTTAATTTATATCTACAAGAATACTCCCATCTTGTTGACTTTTTGAAATTCCAATCTGGGTGACATTGTCTTGTCTTGACTTTCACTTTCAACTGAGACTATAAAAAAACACAGGCACAACAACAACAAAAAGCATTCAGTGCTGGGAACGGACAAGATGGAAAGTAAAGAAACAGGACCTACCAGTAGTGCCCTCCACCCACCAGCTCAGTATCCTACCCACAGACAAATATCCCCAATCCTATTAATAGTAATCAACACCATCAGTTAGTGGGGGGTGATAGGAATAGTCATCCTTAATTGACTTCAGTGGAACATAAGACCATCATTTGGTGTGAACATAGCTACAGAGTTGGTAGGCCCTCAGTGACCTGCCTTCTAAATCCAATCTCAATTGTGAGGGAAACAAACATTTTACAACCAACTCTTTAATGCACATAAAAGATAGAATATTTAACTTTCAAAAGAAAAAAAAAAGCACAGGAAGAAGAAGAGAGAAAAAAAAGGAAACCATGCATAAAAACATATTTCCTTCTCCCTCCTCAGGTTGTAATGTAACTTCCAAGGCTAAAACTTTTCAGCTGACATTTGACAACAGCAGAAAACTTTTTAATTTACATCTAGATGAATACTTCCATATTGCTGACTTTTCAAGTTCCAATTCAGGTGACACAATCTTGTCTTGACTTCTACTTTCAACTGAGACTATCTGAGATCTCTTTCTTGTTGACTTTCAATTTCAATAGGGATCAGAAAAGAAGCACACTGGTACAAAAAAAAAAAAGCATTCAATGCTGGGAACGGACAAGATGGAAAGTTAAGAAACTGGACCTACCAGTAGTGCCCTCCACCCACCAGCTCAGTATCCTACCCACAGAAAAATATCCCCAACCCTATTCACAGTAATCAACACACCATCAGTTAGTGGGGGGTGATAGGAATAGTCATCCTTAATTGACTTCAGTGGAACAATAGACCATCATTTGGTGTGCGCATAGCTACAGAGTGGGTAAGCCCTCAGTGGCCTGTCTCCTAAACCATCTCAATTGTGAACGAAACATTAGCATTTTACAACCCACCACTTTTTCAGGCACATTAAAGATGAAATAGCTTGGGGTTTTTTTTAATACCCTGCATAAAAATATATTTTCTGAAAGTGAAACATGAATACTTCAATCTTGTTGACTTTTTAATTCCAATTCAAACGACATTATCTTGTCTTGACTTTCACTTGTTTACTTTTTCAATTTCAATACTGATCTTAAATTTCAATTTGACACAAAATCATACTTTGTGAGATCTCTCTCTTGTTGACTTCCTCGGATGTGTAAGCTCTGAACGTCGGGGTGGGGCCCGATCGCCCGTCTCTGCGACCATGAGAGTAGTGCTGCTCCAGCGACTCCTCTCTCTCCCTCTCCAGGGCCAGGTCTTTGCTCAGCTTCACATTGAAGTCGTCATCTCCATCATCATACTGGTCCACTGCATCGTCTTTGCTTGAGTCTTTGGAGTACGAGCGACTGAGGAATGGTACAGGTCAAACGTCATAAGATGAAAAACACTTCCTGATATCCATTAAAAGATTGCAAATGTCTTGTTGTTGGCAGTAAAGAAAAGCACATTGAAACAATAACTGTCGTTCAGCAATAAAAAGAATAAAGTTGCAAAACCCTCACACACCTACTTTTCTACATGAAATTTATTCAAACTATTTATTCCAAGCAAATCTGCAACAAAAAAATGTCATTTTAAAAAAAGCCTCTCCAACTGACTTGTGGACTTCATTCTCATCATTATTTGAAAAGTTTTGAAAGCTGCAAATTTTTTTCAGCACCAGAAAGTCTGTGAGGCACAATGCAAGAAAACAATCAGTTTTTTCCCACAAAAAAACAAATGTTCTTTCGTACTCAGACCCTCATACTAAACATCTCTTACCTGCAGATAAAACCAACAGAGAAAGGAGTAGTAGGACCTTCAAATAACAAAAGGCAAACGTTTCCTACGTTATTTGTGCTCCTCCATAAATTGTATTTGAAGAGGGGCTAACAAAAAATCCACAACTCAATTTCTTCTGTCAAAGACAATTTTTAATAAAAACCCAACTCACTTAAGTTCCCAGTCGGCAGACGATTTGCTCCCAGCTCGATCAGATTTGTGATCTTCCTTGTCCTTGGATCGGTCATCAAACAGATCTCTCTGAGATGAAGCTGACCGCTGATCCACATCTTTTGGACCTCCTTCCTTTTCTATGGGTCCAGAGCTCCGATCTTCATCTTGATCAGAGTGGTCAAATTCTCTGAAATTCAGAAAGTAAAAAGGTGTGTATACTGGTCAAATTCTCTGAAACTGAGGAGGTAAAAGGGAGGGGTGTATAAATTGGTCAAACCTCGAACGTTTCAACAGTAAATGGGACGCTAGGAGTGGACCTTAATTCAAGAAAGCCCATTAAGTCGCATTATGTAAAGCCTCTGTAAGAACAGACATCCACCCAGTTCAAAGGAATAAACACCCACTTTCCTTGCTTTGTTTGAGAATGTCTGTTTTACAATTTAGTCAAAACTAATGAGGGACCAAGTCGAGAAAGGGAATATGAACTGTACCTTCTTTCAAAGTCGTATCTCTCAGGGTACATCCTGGGCTCGTAGTAAGGGATGCGTCTCATTTCATCAAAATGGCCTGAAATATTACAAAAAGAACATTTTTGAATATGCTGAGGGGTTTTTTTTTCATGTATGCACACATGCATGTGTATGTCTGTGTGTGTGTTGGGGAGAGGAGGCGGTATGGCAACGTGCAATCATAAGTCACATATTTCCATCTTCACTTTTCAGGCTTGAGTTACCTGAAAAACAATTATGAATATATTTTACTTTCCATTGGGGGAAAGAAACCAACATGCAAAACCTCAACAACAAAAATTACAATCCTCCCAAATCAGAATGAATAAATATGCAAAAACCAAAACTACAGTATCAATAATAACATTGACATACCTGGGAGGGGGGGAGGAGGGTAACCTCTCTCCAGCCAGGCAGCCCTCACATCGGCCCTGGGGTCAGGGCGGTCGTACTGTTCTGGGTGTCTCCCATCACCGTCCTGGCCTTCATTACCAGATCCGTGACTATCATTCCGCCGTCTCGGAATAGGTGGTCCATACATTTGCATACCTAATGAAAAGTAGTAATATTCATTCACGTCTTTGAAAAGTTTTCAAAAGATGTGATAAAAAGGGGAATATCAATTAGTCTTGCAAAATTAAGTGTAAACTTAGAAATCATTTTGTGAGTACACTTAAATAGAAAAGACAAGCTGCAAACAAGTATTGAAAGGTAAAAAGAAAGCTAAGATACAGATCTTCAAAGTAACTCCTTATCTTAAATACTGATTTGAAAGACAGACATACATGATAAAAATCTGTTAATACGTTGAAGACTTATGATACAAACCTAACACATGTTGATGTAATCCCTACAAAACTGGTCAGACAAATTTTTCAAAAGAGTCATATTTAAGAACATAGCCTCATCATTGCATACTTTCCGAGATCGAAACAAAACCAACGAGTAGATGGACCCACCTTGCATGTCCAGGGGAGGCCTTGGTCCGTAGCGCGGGTCAATGAAGTGAGGCATGCCCGACCAACGAGGGTCATAAGGCGCCCATGGTGGGGGAGGCGGGCCTTGACCCGGTCGGAAGCCTGGCATGGGCGGGCCCACCGGGTGGGAGGAGCCTCCACCACTGCCGGGACTGAGGGGCTGCTGGCGCTGGCCCTGGCCTCCTGCAGACTCCTGCTGCTTCTGGAACCTCGGGGCCACATTGCGGGCATAGCCCTTGCCCCCGGGCCCTTGCTCACCCTGAGCAGGTGGAGTTAAGTTGGCGGGTCTCTCTCTGAACCGAGTATCTTTGGGATCTTTGTCGCTGGACTCGCTCATGGTACGGCTGTCCCTTCCATCAGTGTCTCCATCTTTACCCTTGAAAACAAATGGTGGTTTGTGTTAGAGAAGAGAAGGGACATCCACACAAACTTGAGCACTCAGTGCAGCAAAAAAAAAAAAAAAAAACCCCAAGGGAACAGAGAAAAAGAAAAGAAGAACTTGCCAGGGACGCTCTCCAATCACCCACAAAAATAGCGATATTGACCGACTTTGAACTTGTGACATCAAACAGTGCACTCTTGCTTTTGCCGATATTTTCACTTATGACAACGGCAGAAATTAATGGGAAACCAAACTTAAACCGACTCAAACATGTATGTCTCACATATATTGGTAACAATAAGGACATAAAAATCCACATAAAGTGAACAAACTTCCAAATTGTTGAAATGTGCACGGGCAACACCTTGTTTTTTTAATCTCACTTCAGGGACATCAAGTACAAATTGAATTGTACCAAAAAATCAGTAGCACTGTAATTTAAAAAATTCAGCTTACAAAAACAACATACTTATCCCACAAATTCAGCTCACAAGAACCAGCAACAACAAAACCAAAGTCCACAGATTAAACAAGTTCCTTTACCTCGTCTTTCTTCTTGGAGCGCTCTTCAAGCTGCCTCAGCTTCTCTCCAGCAGCAGCTCTCTGCTCCGACTCCCTACGCTTTTCGTTCTCTTCTCTTCTCAGCCGGGCTTTCTCCACAGCCGAATTTATCTCCCCTTCGTTAGCACGTCGCCTCAAGCGCCATAGCTCGTCGTCGTCGTCTCCTGGTTTCCTGGCAGGCATCATACCAGGACTGGACACTGGTGGTGGTTGTGGAGGTCCATAAGGCGGACGCTGAAAAGAAAATTACCAACATAGTTATTATTATAAATAACATCAAATTCACAAACATTGCAACAACCCAAATTTCAAACATTCGTTTTACCACTTTTTTAACTGAACTCATATCTTGACTTAATTTTCTTTTTTTCATACATTTATCAAAAACCTAAGACGACACAGATACGACATGTGCACAAGAAACATGCATAACACTATCACAAAAGTGTCATACGGATTCAAAACTGAATTACACAAGCTACTGATAAGTTACATTGAAATTACTAAGAGTACATTTCTTAAATAAAAAAAGGCAGCACAACAAACAATACTAAGTGACAGACTTGTTCGCACATCTAGGCTCCTCCAGTTAATAAATATAAACATTGTCCATCAAGACATAATACAAAACAAATAGGAATCTCTATAGACATCAGCTGGAACTGATAAGTGAAACATTCATTTGCCAGCATACTCAACATTTGTAGCTGAAGAAAATAAAACAAAAATTCGAGCAAATACAACACTTCCTCTTACCATCTGTGGTGGAGGCATTCTGAAGGGAGGGTAAGGAGGGGCTCCCCGTGGCCCCATAAACTCATATGGATGCATATGAGGCGGCCAGCCTCTCTGAAATATACAAGTGAAATTGTGAGCAAATTGCAGAGCTGAAAGCTACAGCGAAGCAAGCTACATCATGAAATGACAAAAACAAGGAAGCCTAACTTTTAAAAACCAGCGATTTCACTTCTCATTTTAAGATTAGGAAGAAATGGTTGAGAAAAAAAAAAGACGCAAGAACCAAGACAATTTATTTCCTCCTCCTGATAGGGCATGTTAGTTGAGTGGGGGAAAAAAGGATATTGACACAATAACGGTCATTTTGGTGTTGCAAAAGTGTAAGACAGATGAACAGAAACAACTTTGATCAAATATCTTTAGACAATTAGTGCCGTTTTCCTCAAACTCCATGGGGAAATTACATCTCAAAATAATGTTCTCACAAATTAATCTAAGGGACTTTCCCATCATTATCAATGACACACAGAAAAACCCAACAAAGCAATAAATCTCTAGAACTTACAGCCTCCATTCCTGGGTGTGGTGGTCGTGGTCCTCCTCTGTAGTGCGGTGGGGGAGGCCCATGGGGCCAAGCCTCTCGCACCATAGGTGGCCCTTTCTCATCCTGCATTGGATAAAAACAAAAAGTTTTTAAAACTCTTTGTATTTCAAGAAAACTGACGATTAATACACAAAATAATTTAGCTCCAAATAAACGCTTTACACTTCAAGGAACCTTAATTTCTTTAAAAATAACTTTTTTGACTAAACCTATCAGATTAACTTTTAAAAACTCTCATTGCCTACATTGCCTATTCAGCAAACCACGATCTGTGGTATGACAGCAAGGTGCTTTGCCCTCGCACACAGAAGACATAAGCCCCATTCCCATGTGGGGACGATTTAGTATCAAGTATCTCAGTCTGCTGGGACGCTGAATCCCTCCCTCTCAGCCATGGTTTGACCCTGACAGATAAGATCAAAGCAGTCTGTTCCCTAAATAATCTAAAATGTGGCTAATTTTCCCTTCTTTTTTTTTTAAATCATTGACAGCAAAGTGTGATGCACAAATAAAAAGAAAGGGGCACCATCAGTAAATGGGTGATGGGTAGTAGTCATCCATAGTGACAATTCAGAAAACACAAAAACATCATTTGGTGCACTTTATAAAGAAAGAAATCCTCTCCATTTCTTTTCAACAACAAAAAATTATGCAAAAAAATAACCTACAACCTTTTGATTTCTTTTTTTTTTTAAATAAATGAAAAACCCGTTTCATAGCCATGTTCCATACCTTTTCAGGGTCTTCATTTCGATCCTTTTCTCTCTCTCTGTCTGGTTCAGGCTCCCGACTGTGTTCTTCAGCTTCTTTGCGAGATATTCGCCTCCTCTCATCACGGCGACCCCGGTCCCTGAGGCACACACAAACCAACAGCAAAATCAGTGGAACATTCAAGTATCAAAAACAAAATCTTATTCGATCTCCTGTCTGGATCAAACATATTGCGTGGGTGGTTGGCGGGTGCTCTGGTGTGGTTTGCTCCTTCTTTCCTATCAAAAATCTATCGTCCTTATCTCCCCTTCTTCTTTTTTATGTTTGTTACTCTCTTGTAACACCTCTATTCTTCTGGCGCTCATGACCTTATGCAGTTGCGAGTGCCGTAAAAACTACTTAAACTAAACTAAAGACATTGCACCACCCCTCCCCCCCAATTAATAAATATGCAGAACTAATACAAACAAAAAGACACATGAAAGAGGTAATATCTTCTTGCCACTATCCACAAGTCAGCAAAAAAAAATGCAGAACAGATCGCTTCAGTTTCAAAGTAGATGTTTCCATGGTTGAAAAGTTGGAAGCCAATATAACCTTTGAGACAAGATATATTTTAGAAATAAACCTTGAAAACTATGCAAAGTTGTTGTTTTCAAACCCCTTTAGTTGCGAGCATTTCGCTCTTGGCAGCGCAATGCCTCAAATTATGCAAGGTAAAACCCACAAAATCTACCATCTGTGGCAATGGTTCAATGCCACACCAAAAAAAATTACATAAAAGTGGCAGACCCTTCTGAACACTTCCTCATAAAGTTGTTTAAATTTCAAACCTGTCTTTTACAAAACAAAAACAAAATTTTCTGCAGCAGACCTATTACTTTCGTTTCATACAAAAATTAAAATAATTTAAAGCATGCCTCCCAACAACCCCCTATTATCTTCTCATTACAAACCTTGGGCTCCGTGATTCATCTTCGTCATCGCTGAAGACAAGTTTTTCACTGGAAAATAAAAATAAAAATTCTTAATCTTCTATTCTATACAATCACAAGTCAATAATTCAGCAAAAAGAGTATGTGACCAGTAATAGAGTATAAACAGCACTGAACAAGACTCACAACCTCTACTAAACTGACATAATTCAGATTCAACAAAAAAGCCATCACTTGGTGCTCACCACATTCTAAGAACAAAACGACGTTTGCCAAATAAAAACCTGCTTTCTACTTTTCAAGCAAAACATTGTGACCTCAGAAATGTCTCTCACCTGTAATCAATTTCTCCTTGAGGGCCAGCCCATCCTCCATCGTTACCACCCTCAGACTTGAGGATGTCCTCAAATTCTTTGAAGGCCTTCTCCGAGACAATAGGTGGCCGTTTCTGTCCATCATCTCCTTCTCCTCCCATATGTCTCTGATGCGACATTTGAGGTGGAGGGCCTCGGAACCTGCACACAGTCAACACCAATAAGACCCGCATACCAAAAAACAAACATTCAGTAAGGGTCAATGTAAAGGAAAGTAACAGCACCCATATCCTAGCATATCATAATAATCACATGGCAGTATTCTTGTTACAGTAATTCAAAGCTGTAACCCCAGAAAGGGCACAATAGCTTTATCAGTTCGCAATGCTGGGCTATACCTGACTTGTACCAACAAAAGCACTTTCCCTCCACAGTGAAAATTTTAAACACCTATTCAACAAGTGAAACTCAAAACTCAAAATTTATAGCCATTATGCAGGACACAATTAACAAATGGCAATGAAATTCTTTCTCCGAACCCTTTTTTAAATCAATTCCCACAAGTGCTTGCTCATCTGATACAATGCTTATCGTTTTTAAATGCAAAACCAGCATCAGTAATGAAAAGTTTGCCAGTCATCTTACTCGAGTAAAAGCTGAAGCCGAAACATTAGTAAAAAGCTACTAGGTTTAAAATTAACAAGCTTCAGTAGCCCAAATGATAAAGCGGCAACACTTTTTAAAAGTCTGCAACCCTTCAAAACTGAGATTTTAACGAGAAAAGACATACCTTGTTTCTGGTCCATAAGGCGGTCGGGGAAAGCCGGGATAGTTAGGAGGGTAACCTCCATGAGGAAACCTGCCCATCATCTGAGAAATATAAAAAACAAGATTGGTTTGATCAACTGATCTATTCATCCTGGAAAGCATGCGTAAACAAATATCTCAGCTGCTGTTGTTGGCCTGTGTCCATCTCTCATCCACAACTAAAATAGTCATGACATAAAGCTGAATAACCTAAAACAAAAAATAAAGGGGGAGGAAGCTCATCTCATTTAGGTGATTTTGAGAAAATTTTGGTAAAGTAGGTTGGATCCTCACATCTCGCACAGAATATAACATTTAGAACTTACATTATTACATAGTATGCCATTTTTACTCCCGCTAAAAATATCTCTTTAATGGTGGTGTCTTCACCCACCCACTCCCACCCGAAACACAAAAAAAGTTTTAATAAGCGCGACGTGTGTGCCCCATCTTCACTTACAAACGGCGGCATCATCCCCCGGTACTGAGGCGGCGGCATTCCCATGGGCGGCCCCAGTGGCACAGAGCCATGAGGGCCGTGACCTGAGCCCGGGCGGGCTGGCATCGGCGGGGTGGGCAGATCAGCCCCAGCCCCGCCTCCACTGCCACCGGACATCGGGGGGCCATTGGTCTGTGCCTCCGTCAGGGTCGAGCTTGGAGTACTCGGAGCTGCTTCTTCGGGTTTGGGCTGAGGCACCGCACGCCCTCCTCCCTCGCGCCAGCTTGCAACATCTGATGAGACGGGGAGGGGGGAAAAGACATTTCTTTAAAATTCCGACAAGATTTGGTTAAAATAGAACTGTCGACAAAAAATAAAGATGAATACAACATAGCACCCACAACGGAATAACATGTGATTACACCTACACAGTATAGGTGTAATCGCATGTTATTGGGAGCTACCAAATTAATTAACGCTAAAAGAAACTTAACTGATGATGCAGTCTTGACAGGGAGATTGCAGGGACTTGAAAAGAATTGTAATTAATACCTCTAATCAGATGCTTGCTCAGAAGTTATAAATGTTCTAATCACATTCTTTCATTGGATTGACAGATAAACAGCATCACAGCAAGCTTAACTCACATTTGCTCCGAATAACCGTTGTTATAAACCTTTTTTTAAAAATCTACATCTGCATAACAGCCCACACTTCTCTGAGGCTATAAGGGACAGCCTTGCTCAAAATCAGGGACATTGACTAATTATCAGGGACACCTTGTATTTGTCATGAAAAACTTGCTGCCTTTTCGGTTTCTTTGCTTTACTTGGTCCAGAGTTGGACTTAGAACTCATCGCCGAACGTTTTGACGCCATCTTTTCAAACAAATGAAGAAGCCGAGCGCAGCGCATGGGTATCAGCTGACCCTGTCGAAACTGCACACCTGCCAACTCTCCCGAATTTTTCTGGAATCTCCTGAATTTTCGTCATTTTCCCGAGCAACAGAAGGCTATTTTTTCTGTTTTAGAAGTATGCTTGCCAATTTGTTATTTTCCGGGACCGTCGGTCAAAATCTCTATTTCCGGGACAGTAGCGATTTTTCAAGAAAATCTGTACAAAATACGGATAGCCCAGGACAGTGGGCAGCTATGCATCTGCCCCTTTTTTACTACTAAATTTTAAAATAATGTCATTAAATGGGTCATTATATCGAAACAAGTGAACCTACTTTGATAGTTCTTACTGTAATGAATAAACTTCCTGTAAAAAACCTGTTTTCAGCAATTGTTGAAAAGTAATTTGATGTCGAAGTCATCGTAAAAGAATGTGCCCGAGCCGCTGGGAGCAGCTTGCCGGAGATGAGTTTTTAAAACTACCTCTGACCACCAGTGCTTTACATTTTAACAGTAAGGTAATTATTCTGATGCTTGCTCAGAAGGAATAAATGTTATAATCACATTCTTTCATTGGATTGACAGATAAACAGCATCACAGCAAGCTTGATTCACATTTGCTACTATTCACTATTGGTATAAAACTAGTAAGGTTAACTCTTTATCTCCGAGTGGGGTAATCCCACTACGCCGAGGCCCTTTTTGCTACTAAATCTAAAAGTGACAAAATGTCATTAGATCAAAACAAATAACCTATTTTCATAGTCCTTCACCCAATGAATAAACTTCCTGTAAAGGAGACCTGTTTCGACAATTGCCAAAAAGTAATTTGACGTCGAAGTCATCGTAAAGGAATGTGCCCGAGCTGCTGTGAGCGGCTCCCCGGCACAGCAGTTCCGATCTTGAGCCGCTGGGAACAGCTTGCCGGAGATAAGCAGTTTTAAAAATCTACCTCTGACCAAAAGTGGAGGACATGAGTGCTTTATATTTTAACAGCAAGGTATTCCCCCAATGTGTGACTATGCATATGAGACAGTGGAGCATCACCTTTTCCACTGTACAGCCCTAAATGACATCAGAGCTACACTTCTCCCTCCGAGACCTAACTTTGACAACACTCTACGGAACATTACAGCTGCTGCATCAAACCTGCACTTATCACTACATTGCATTGGACAGAAGGGCGAGAGCCCAGATGTTACTGGATCAGTAGCAACAACAACAACAACAGTAAGGTAATTATTCTGATGCTTGCTCAGAAGGAATAAATGTTATAATCACATTCTTTCATTGGATTGACAGATAAACAGCATCACAGCAAGCTTGACTCACATTTGCTACTATTCACTATTGATATAAAACTAGTTAACTCTTTTATCTCCGAGTGGAGTAAACCCACTACGCCGGGGCCCTTTTTTGCTACTAAATCTGCCCGAGTTGCTGTCAGTGGCTCACCGGCACTGCAGTTCCGATCATGAGCCGCTGGGAGCAGCTTGTCGGGGATAAGAAGTTTTAAAAATCTACCTCTGACCACAAGTGCTTTACATTTCAACAGTGAGGTAATTATTCCGATGCTTGCTCAGAAGGAATAAATGTTATAATCACATTCTTTCATTGGATTGACAGATAAACAGCATCACAGCAAGCTTGACTCACATTTGCTACTATTCACCGTTGTTATAAACCTAATAAGACTTTTTTTAAATCTGCATCTGACCATAACTAAAGCACACGAGTGCTTTACATTTTAACAGTAAGGCATGTCGTACAACATGACACCAACAAGAGACTATATATAAAGTAATAACAATTGCAGCAACATCGCACAGCCACTCTGCAAACAAATAGTACCAGGTACCAGGCAGTCTTTTTTAAAGCCCTGCATACAGATGAAAAAAAAATAATCACACTTTGCATCAGGTACATTCATACTAATATAGAGAAGAGAAATAAGATCACCAGAGAACATCTTACACCACAATCAATCTAGATATTTCGACAAAAAAAGTCCCACATTTTTTACTCCTAGGTCGCATACTAATTTCGGCCTAATATATGAAGCATAAAAAACGAGGGAACCGACTCACATATGCAACCTTCTTTACCTGCACTAACAAAGTAGACACTTCACTACAGTTTGTCCAACTACCATTACTTGCTCAGTAAAATTTAAAATGTTGTAATCACATTTTTTCATTGGATTGACAGATAAAAAACATCATAGCAAGTATGGAACACGGATACAACCTAACATACTCAGTTTAAACAAAAGCAGCGAGGAACACAACTTTGAAATTCACCAGTGAGAGAAATTCTTTACAATTTTCTTTCTTCAAAAGGTAAACTGTACTTCCCACAATACAGCTCCCTCTTGCTAATACAGTACAGATTCAACTAGAGGAAGTAATTTGAGAAACACAAAGGGTATAAACTTGTTAACTTATTTTCGGGAAAACAAGCTTAATTTTCACAGAAATGCCATTACACTTCAAACCGCCATTGAGAAATAGACAGCAAACACACAAACCCTAAAAGTTTGAGCAAAATATCTACCAACCGTATGATCCCAAGATTGTATTACACACTTACACAAATAAGCAGCCTCCACAGGAACTATTGTTTAGGGTGTTGTCAACAAACTTCAACAGCTTGGAAACAAGCTACTCGGTATAAAATGCTTTAAAGCAATTCCTTCATAACCATCTAAAGGACAATTCTATAGCAACCACCTGTCTAGTGCAATGATTTGAGGACACCTGCAAGCGCATACATTTTCAAGCTTCATATCAGCACATTGGCACCAACTCAATTACAAAAGTAAAGATAACAAATCTAACACTCTGCACTGCAAACTTTTACTAAATTCCTTTACCAAAACCTACGAGCACACAAGGGATATAATACATACTCTGTGGTCGCAAGCTTGGCCCTGGTCCATATTGAGTATCCTTGATTTCTTCTTCTCTTTTTGTAGGTTGATTTACTGTGGCTTCCTTGCTCTTGTCGTCTTGTGCCAGACTGGGGAATTCCTCTTGAAATAGTGGTGACTGGTGACTGACCAGACCTCCTGTGCATCACACAAAACAAAAAATTTAGTACACATACGCAAGGGTAAAAAGTATGGTTTTGTGGGGTATAAGGGAAGCACACCCACACAGTAGTCATTTAAAGCAGATAAAAGAATGACTGACAGACAGGAATGTTAAAGGGTGAGAACAAAAAGACGCACCAGTAGCCTCTCCAAACAAACAAAAATTCACCATGTAAATAAAAGGAGACTGGAGAGGCATGAGTAGAACCAAACCTATTAACTTATTAATGAAGCTTGAACAGATGGGTGACTGTAATAAGACCATAATAATATAGGGTTGTTGTTGTTTTTTTGCGGGGGGGGGGGGGGAAGAGTGAGGACTGCTTGACAGGGATAATCCTGTCTAAGTGGAATACAGCATCCGAGCAGAAGAATGAGCAGTGGGGACATTAGATCAAAAAGATTTCGTTGTGCGGGATTTGAGTTCAAGTCTTTTTGCGTGCAACGGTTGAGATAGTTAGAACACAACGGATGACTATGAGGTCAAAGTCAAATGCAATGTCAGATCGAATCGCATAGGATCGTTTCGAATCGGATCGAACGCAAGTCTTTGCGTGCAACAGGGGAGATGGTTTGAACCCAACGGATAACTATGAGTCAAAGTCAAATGCAATATTGGATCTAATCGCATAGGATCGTTTCGGATCGGATCGGATGGGATCGGGGCGAGTGAAGATTATGACGGTGGTGAGAACACACTGTACCAAATGACCTCTGCTTTGCTCCATCAAATAAGTCCACAGAAGTCTAATAGACCTGTATTGTTTGCCCTGGATTCACCGGAATTAAATCATGGCTGATCAAGAAAAATCATATACATTTATGTTGTTTGGGTGTGTGTGAGTGTGTGTGTGTGTGTGTGTATGTGTGTGTGTGTGTGTGTGTGCGCGTGTGAATGTGTGTGAATGTGTGTGT